GTTATCATAAATAAATAAGTGCAAACTTCACCATCATCCAACATCCTTTATACTGTCTATTGAAAAATCTGGAATTAGAGAAACTTTTGAAAAGTTGGTACATTGAAAGGATGACATTACATCTAAACAAACTTTTCGAATGCTGTGCATTTAGAAAGGTGTTTAAAAGTTAGAAGTTAAAATGGATTTATCGGCTGAACTACTGAGTTGCATCAGTCAGAACAACATGATGAAAACATTAGTGCTAGGAACTGCAGTGGCAAAAGGAGCTGCATACCTATTCTGTATGAATACTTTGCTAAATCCAGTTCCAAGTAGTGGCACTAGCCAGCGCTTCTTATACCACAGCAGGGCAGTGTATGTCTAGTTTTATTTCCTTTTATGCACAGATTACATCCCAAAACTACCACTCCATCTTCACTAGGAATTTGCTGACTAGCAGCAGTTGCTCAGTTACTACCCTTCTTTGAATTTTAATCCTAGGGTCAGTTTCTTCCTTTGTAGACAAAAGGCATAAATTTGCTTCCCAGGACTGAAAAGAGGAGATCTTACCTACTTTAGAGCCTGAAGCCACTATGGGACTGGGAAAAAGTCATGTCTACTCCAACACTGCAACTCCTCAATTCCCTAACCATGGGTTTGACCTTGCTATGAATATCCTATGGAGCTTCCATCACTCAACATCAATCCACTCCCTCCCTCTTCCATTTCAGCAATATTCCATGCTGGGGAGCATGAGGAGGGTTCACGCTTTGTTAAAAGTGGAGCAGGCCACCTCCACTCACTTGTCAATGTCCCAAGGTCCATACCACCCAGAGCAGACAATGCAGTTCTTACCTGTCCTGCTTTCTCTCTCCCAGGCTGAAGCTGAGGGTGATGCTCATCTGAGACACCAGCATTTATGCAGGAACTAATATAGAGATAGTGAGGGGTCAAAGGTCCTGTTTTATTTCCCCATTTGCTCTTTTGCAAGCAGATTCAGCTCAGTAGTATGGACAAGAAGCTGTGTAGGACTCTGGACCTGTTGTTGGGATTTGGTAATGGAGGGTCAGTCTGACCTGAGCACATGAGATGTGGAAGGCAGCTCCTGGGTCACTGAGCCCCCTACGTTTTCAGGCAACCATGTCATGGAGGACCCTTTCATAAACTGAGCAAATTCCACATAAACTGTAGCTAGAGCTGGACTGATGTTTGCTCCCACTGTTCCTGTGGGAAGGCTCACGTTGAAAGCTGACTGCTTTGACAGCTGCAAATTATTTGTTGCTATTATGCTCATTCATATTTCACCCTCTGTTTCCAACAAACGTATTAACCAACTGGTGCACACAGGTGTATGTATACATATAGTGCTCTCGCAGTTCATTTTTCCCCATAGCCAAGCCTTTTTGCACAAGCTGACAAAGATGGGTGCAGATCTCAGCCAGATGTCAAAATCTGCACAGGGGAAGCATAACTTCTCCCCATACTGCCCAGGGATCTGCACCCAGTCAGAAAGCATCTGTTGTGTCATGCTGCGGGATGTGCTTTTCCCATAGCACAATCTCCAAGTGCCCATTGGGTCTTCAGTCAGGCCAACCGTCAGTATCTGGCACATACAACCATTGAACAGAAGGCAGAAAATTTGCAACATGGAGCAACAAATGGCATTAGCTGAGGAAAAGGTGTGGGCACGAGGCATACATTAAACCTACAATGTGAGACCCAACAGAACTATCTTATGTCAGTGACATAAAGTAGTGTTAGTCACCTACTGAGTCACTGACATGACTTTCAACTAACAGATGGACACTCCAAAAAGCTCAACCAGTTTCTTTATCAGCCCAACACATTCTTCTAAAAGACTTTTCTTCATGGAGCTTTGTGTATTGTAAACCAAACAGTAAGCGTTACCCTTTTACAGATATGGCAGCCAAATCAGCGATTGCAGCAGTGATACAACTGAGGTCACATCATTAAAGAGGACTGCCCATGGCCTCCCACACAGTTTTTCCACTCTCTTGGTGAAGTATTTAGTAAATATCTTTTTATAGTATCTTATAGTATCTTTTTAGTGTCTTTTTTTCTACGAAAAACAAAGAAAAAGCCGCCTGAAACATGAACATTGATCCAAAAAAATCCCCACGGAAGCAAAAAAAGACAGCTGAAAATTATTACTGATGTCTAACAAGGTTACTTCTAGAAGTCAGAACAGAGGATTTTCAGTTCCACTTCTCGTGTAAATACTAAAAAGCAATCTATGGTCTAGGAAGAACACACAAGAACAACCAGAGTTTGAAGTTCTCTCATGTTTTAATTATACATTCTACAGTCATTAAGGAGATTCCACAGATTTACTGCCTGCTTTTAAAGCTGAAGTAACGTTCAGAAAACCAGTACAAGACACATTATAGACATTCAAGTTAACAGAAATAGCAACAGGCAGTCATTACTTGTGGGGGTGAATTTAATATAACCTCAAGTGTCATCTCTCTTCTAAGTCAGGCTAACAAATGGCAGTCTCTGGCCATATTAAGGGTGTGTTTTAAAGTGATGTGCTGCCTGAGGTAGTAAAACAAAGGGAATTTAGCTGCCCTACGTAGTAATATGTACCTCTGAAGAGCTTTGTGTTATGGTAACTTTAATTCCTGCTAAGGTTGTCTAACTTTATCCAGTGCTGTCATGAATACAATCCCACAGGTAGCAACAGGGCCTTACAGTGCTTTCTACTGCCAAACAGGCAATTGCCAAGCCCAAATCGATGATTGCACAAGAAGCAGTCCTTGCCCTTCATTCCTGGAATGGCAGAGTGCTCTGCAAATAAGCAAGGAAGCCAGGTATTGCAATCCTTTTTAAAATCAAATAATTAAAAAAACAAAAAACCAAACCACAGTTCTTTTATCTTTCTTATGAATCTTTGGTTTGAGGTGGAAAGCAGCTGACATGAGCAGCAGATCTCATCTGTTCCATGTGGCACAGTCACCTATTCTTTATTTTAACATGAATAACTCCAGTGGCTATCTAGGCACTTTCATACACAAAATTAATTGGGTGCAAGGTATATTCCCTCACCTGCATAGCAGGAAGAAACAAAAGTCTAAAATAACTCACATATGAAATCACATTTATTTCTTTCAACACAAATGGGTGACACAGAAACATCAGCCCTTTGGAATGGCTAAAAAATTAAAAATGAGAAAATTACAACCTAGAAAGAATGAAGCTCAACTATTTCCTACTGTTCTTTCATTGTGTAGTATTTCAGCTGCCAAACTTAATCTCTCTCTTTTAAAAAGTCAAAGGCCTAGTAATCTCACTGTTAAATAAAGTCTACATAGTATTGAGCAGTGCCATTGCAAAGGCTTTCACTTTTAATCAATTAAAAATAGAAATATGCATTCAAAGAGTAGCCTATTTCCTTCCTACTTTTCTGTCTGCTCACAGTTGCAAAGCATGTATAATAGATTTCCTTTTTAATTACTTCATAGACCGCTAATCAGTGCTTTATGAACCACAGTGGTTTGTGACCAGATCTTACCAAAACTGGTACCATTTCAGTTTTCCTTCTCAGCAGGACTACTCAAGGAGTTCTTCTCCCAGTTTGTATAGATATCTGGGATTATCTCAACCGAAGTGCAAAATCTTGCACTTGGCTTTGTTGAACCTCATTAGGTTCACAACGCCCCATCTTTCCAGTTTGTCGAGGTCCCTCTGGATGACATGCTCATGCTACAACTGCTGCTGCTCTTACACACAATTTTCTTGCCGTCTGAGAGAGTTCCTACTCTTGGGGAAACTTACTGGACTGTATTGGAACATGAAAGGAAAGCAAGTTCTTTTTCACGCTACCATCTTGGGATTTCAGTTTTGGCACTGGCTGGGAAATAAGCTGGACAGTACAGTAACTGACACTCGCCAGACTCTAGTGTCTCAGAGTTACAAAATAATTCACAAGATGCTCCTAAAGCTCCCTGTCAACAATTGAGTTTCTTGAATCCAAGAATATCTTTGGCAAGCCTGTTTCCTGTGCATGCATCCAGCATGTAACTATAGCACCCAGAGAACATCAAGTTTTCCAGTACATTTTAAATGATCACAGTGGATGGATGAATCACATCAAGGAAAAATGGCAAGCTTTTCTCCTTTGCAGGTAGTCTTAAGGAATTCTAGAAATTCTGCATTCAATTTGCAAGGGAAGGGATGAGAAAACCCCTCCATGTAGATAAGACCAGATACATCATGCATTCAGAATTGATTTGTGTCAGGGTAAAGATCAAGAGAATAGTAAAAATTGTTAGGCCTCTTCAGAGCCCTTTATCCCACCCCATGTGTGTAACACATGTTAGAGAGGGCAAAGGGAGAACATAAAAATGAGTATATGGCCCAGGAAACATACATCCAACAAAGTTATGCTTCCTAGAGTTGAAGGAAGTTCTGGTCTACAGTATGAGAGATAGTAGTCATAACAAGCTCAGTTCCTGTGGAGATGACCAAGCTTTGGTAAATCTAGCTCATTACAATGTAATTTTACACATAAATTCAAGTCTGTGTTAAAGGCTAGAAGAAGCATCTTTTTAGGTACTACGGTCTAAGCTTAACGTAGAGAGGGGTTTTCAGTCAGTATAGGGCAGATAAGCTGGCAATTTGCAGATTGCAGTGAGCCCTTAGTAAGACTTCTAAATCCTTCTAACACTGGAATTCTGCTGTTTGGGATCAGGGACAAAGGGGAGCAACTGCTTACACTACACTGAAAAGCCAGGCAGAAACAGCAAGCATCAAATAATTCTGAAGTACATTAGAGGGGCTCAGAAGGGAAACGCTATGCCTCTCTACACCAACTTCTGAGGTGACTGGGTCAGATGAGCTCCAGAGCTGTCTTTCAACCTAAATTACTCTATTGCCCCGTGACTTTACATCTCTGTGATTATCTGAGCCCTTCTCCAGCAACTGGTGCACAAAGGATCAGCATTCTACATACTCTACTACTGCTTGTAGTGTCAGGGTACCTAACAAAAGGCAACTGATACCTCTGGGAATACACTGTTTATTAAAAAAATTTGCTGTATCCAATAGCATGTTTTCAGCCCATCACAAACCTAAGTTTCCAAATCAAAGTAGGAACAAATACGGGCTATATATTGCTTTCATGTCCACTAGACATATCTTCTTCAAAAGCAGTTTCATCTTCTGTTTGTTTTTCCTTTGCTGGTTCAATCAAAAGCAGTCATCCCAACTACATAGTAAAAATAGCTAAAAAGAGTCCAGTGTGAATCTTCATTCTTTCAGTACTGGCATTAAATGACAATGCTTCTTGCACTATAGGAACTTCCTCTGTCCTGCAGGAGAAAATAGAAGATTCAGGAACAAGGAAAGACAGATGAAAATCAAGTGTTTGCCTACATATTCTGAGCACTGAAACGAAACCATTATACACACACACATCATAGCTGAGACTAAAACTATGTCGCCTTCCAAAACTCAGAGGGGAAAATTGTAAAATGGAAAATGCAGCCCTTTGAGAACAGAGCCACTTGGAAAATACTACATAGAGGTGATAAGGGACACTTAATTCTGTTGCTTTTGTTGTTTTTGAAAAACTCCCATTTTTTAAGGAGGAACATACTGTCTAGCTTCAGGGCTACCAATTGGATACTAAGATCTTCATGCTCAGGACACTGCTTGAAATCTAGTCACTGTACAAATTGATAAGATGAGCTGTGAACAGCAACTCTTTACTTCCCAAATAATGCACGTCCAGTCCTCAGGAGCTGCAGCTAGCAGCCACCCTATTCTACATGGACTGAAGGATCACGTGTTTCCCACCGTTTCCTAGGGCACTCAATACTCTTTACCCTTCTTTCAAAGACATCAGGCCGCAAAAAGTAACTGACATTCACTGTCACCCCCAGAACCCATCTCTGCCCTGTGACTGGAGGAAAAAAGGCAGCTGACTCACCGAGCGTGGCCCTGCACCCTCTCTGTGCTTGCTGTCCCGACCTGGGATGATTTCTAGCGAGCGATAACTGGGAGGTTTATCTTCTGGCCATTCCCGAGACCGGTTGTGCCGCCTGCGGTTTGTCGCTGGGAGACGGATTTGCTCTTCTGAGGAGCTCCATGATCCCCGTCGAGATGGGGGAGAGTAGCTGTGCCGCCGGTGCCTCGAGTTGTTGCTGTTCCTGGTGTGCTGCTGGTACTCTCGCCTCACTGCAGACTGCTGTCTCCGGCCACGATGGTGGCTAGAGTGCTCCTTGGCCTCCTCTGAATAGAAACTGCAGCTGCTGCTGCTGCTTTTTCCTCTCTCAGTCTGGCGGGTGGGTGACACATCCCGCCTGGAGTGCTGCGGCCTGTGATCATAGCCGCCTGCCCTCTGCCTTGGAGGATGGTCGTCTCGCTGCCTGTCCCGGGATTCCCGACTGTAGCTGGAACGAGAATCTTCACTGGAAGGCAAGGGCCACCTCCGATCTTCCCTCCTGCTCTCTGCTACGGAGTCCCAAGTTCTGGGGCTGTGGGTAGTTCTCTGTGGACGTGAGGAGTTGCTGCTCCCATGGGAAGAAGAAACATGACCAGTGAGAGGAGGAAGACCGTTTGTGCCACGCTGCATGATGTCGCTGCCCAGGGAGGACAGTAAGCTGGGCTGCACTGCCTGCCGCTGGTTGGAGGGTGGCCGGGGCTGTGATGGGTTAAGGTTCTGGATTTCAGATTCCAGATAGTCCAAAACACCTTTGTTAGGGGAAAGTCGAGCTTGTGGCTGCACCAGTGGAAGACTGTTCTGCAGAGACACATCTGAAGATTAAATCACAGGAGAATGCAGTAAGTTAAGGAAAAACAGAGTGAGCCTCTCTATGCTAATGGCCTAGCTAATTGTTCAAACAGTGGTTAAGACTGTAAACCTATGACTGCAGTACAATGATGAAAAGCTAATTTCATATGAAAAAAATCCTGTATGAGACATCATGCTGAATTCTGCTATTGTTCTTGGGGTGGTTAAATAATATTGCTGGTAATAATTTATTCTATTGCTTATACCTCTATGACTTCAGACACCCTATCTTCCCTATTCAATTAAACTAAAAAATATATACAACTAATATAAGTAATTTTGAGGCAGAATACCTAGCAAATTCTTCAGATTTATTCTTTGCTGCATGTAGGGTAGATCTGTTGCACAGAAGGCAGTTTGCCCTCAATTGTATGAAGACCAGACATTTGATAAGAACTCAAACAAATTGCACCTCACTTCTCATGTCAATTTTGGATATAAGGAGTTGACCGTGACCAGCACAGCAGAACAAAGACAAAGTACCCTCTTCCACCCCATGAAGTGAGATAAGCTGGGTATATTTACCCTGCAGTCACTGTGGTGTAGCACAAGATACACCTTAGTTAGCATTCAACTACTTCACCCAGCACTGCGCCTAGCGAGACACTTAAGATGGACATGCTGTATTCATCCACACAGGCAAGTCTAAAGTATGCTGCAGATGAAGCAGAGCTGTCATGCTAGGACATGTAGTTATGCTAGGAACACCTTTCTCACTTTGCAGTAGAGAGGATAAAATTCACTGCTGAAGCTCCCTGAGAAGTTACCTGCTTCTCTTTCCTATTTCCCTCTGACATGATGACCGCAGTCTCACCTTGTTGCAGTAGAGGGTTCAGCTGATAAGAGGAAAGTTGTGAGTTCCTATCAGCACCTCCATAGAACATGTTAGGTAACATCCACGGTGCAAATGCCTGAGCCTGCTTCATGAATCGATGCTGTTCCAGTACTGGAAAAGAAGAAGAAAGCTTTGAGTAGCCATGCCTAGAGTACAGCTTGCAGAATACATACCCTTTTGCTTGATAGACTCTAGCCTTTGAACGCGATCAAAGAATGAGAAGTTCTCTCCAACTTATGACAAAACTTACAAATAGAGTGCAGGAAATTTTAACAAAAAAGTTGTACAGCTTCCAAAATATACCTAAAGCTGAAGAAAAGGGTTACTGCCTCGTACATTTCCACGAACCAGGAACAAACTGCACTAGGATTAAGTACACAGCACATAACCTAATGCAGGACTTCTGTCTGCCACGTCACTATGAGTACAGATGTGGCAAAGTAGGAAACAATGTTTCATACAGCAAGACATACCACATTGTTTTCTTTCTTAAAACTTTCAGTTCACCATTAGTCCTTTCCCTACAGTTAAACAATACCTTTTTAGCTCCTCTCATGTAGGCTTTATATAGATCCTACCTTCCACACCACACACAAAAGCAGTTTCTTCTCTGTTCTACAAACAAGGCACTCAGAGATGCATTTACTGCCTTCTTCCTGTCTAGTCTTCCAGCTGCTCTTATTGTCTCTCTCCTATTTACCTCTGCATGACTGCAAAAATTAAATCCATTCAGTCAGTGTGGTCAAACTGGTGAGCAAACTAAACATCCTGTTCTCAACAGCAATGTCCTGTGTCCCAGAAGAGGAAACTCAGAGGAAATTTCCACTTTGTCACCATTTTTCCATCACTAACTCCAGTCTGCTACCAGTGGAGTCAGGCTTCAATCCAACTTTATTTTTTTCAGCACCTCCCCCCTACAAAGACAACATCGCCATCTCTGCCTTCAAAACCATCACTCATTGCTTTTTTTTTTTTTTTGAGAAAGCTAAAACATCTTAAAAAAAAAGCCTTACACTTTTTACCAGAGACAATCAAAAGTCAAGTTTACAAGTAAATTCTGCAAGTCCCAGACATTACAAAGCCTGACTCTGCATGGTTTGTCTTTCACCTTTGGGTGAAACGCTTCTGCAGCTGGGGCTTTTGCAAAAATTTTCTCACATGGCTTATCTGGAATCTTAGAAGAGGCAGTCTTTTACTGCAGTCTCTTCCATAAGGCACATTCTTGCCCATACATTTCAGCAGACAGTTAAGCATGTAATTGCCTTTGAGACACTTACCCCTCTAATAAATGTCTGAAGTTGGCTGATGAAATTAAAAGTTACTGAAGGGGAAGAGACTGGGGATACACAGGCTGGCTGCACAAGCCTTCCTTCTTTAAGAAACCTGGCTACAGCTAAGCTCCAATTAATTCTGTCCCCTGAGTTAATCTGCAGCAAGCAGCATTTAGACTGAGTACTCTCAGGGTCTCAACTCTTCAGTTTCATGTAGCACTCCATTTATTACACAGATTGCAGGTATGCACTGCTTTAACTGTTTCACTGAATTTACTCAGAGCACCACCTGTAGCACAGCAGGGACTGACAGTCCCTCTGAGCACACCCTTCCCTTTCTCCACAGCTCACACAGCTCCACTTTGTTCTCCACACACTATTCTTTCCCCAGCCTGGCTCCAAACATAGGGAACTACAAAGCTGGAGACTTCAGGAGTTTTAATCCTAATACACTGATTTTTCTTCAAAGTGTTGCAGCCTGAGGTAGCAGTTTTCAAGCATTTAATGTAAAACATGCTTCATTATTTTCTTTCCAAGCAATTTTCCACCAGTTTAGCTTTTAAATTTGGAAGAAAGAGTGAAAGAAGAAAACAAAGAGAGATAAAAATAAAGGCCCTAACTGTTCCTCTCCCATTCCTCTGGTTATCACCTTCAGAATGTCCCTGTACCTGTGGAATGCACATCTCTGAGTTCTGAATGCAGTCTTACCTGAGCAGTGAGAGGCTCAGCAGTGAAAGGTACACTTAGAGCACTACAGGCTCCTCTCTCTTTAATGTATGAAGGCAGCCACTAGCATCAGCCATCCTAAGCCTGTGATTCTCTGATCTATCCGTGTAGCTGAACAAATGCAGAATTATCCCTGGACTTTCTTTACTGCCCTCATCTTTTTTTCCAATTCATTAATGGAAGAAGCGTGTAGGAGAAAAGGAACTAATAGGAACAGAAGGAGGTCATACATGTATTTACCACAACATAGTAGGCTTTTTGCAGTTTTCCATGGGAAATGTAATTGGGTTGCCCCGTGGGGCATGCTTAATATTTCTGTAACACCAATTCTGAATTACCCAAACAATTCACTTCTATTACAAGGTTCAAAATCATGTTAGCTGATGACCTGACTTAAAACACTGAGTTACCTTGCCTCAGCATATCCTAATTCCATTCAACAGATCTAGGCTACCCTCTAGTGGCCACTAAGTGGGAAAAAATCATCCACATTCAATTCATGCTGTAATTCTACAATTTAATTGATGACTTTTGTCTTCTCTTCAACTACACGGAACTGTTATTCCTTCGAACTGCTTTTTAAGATGTTTCCTGCCTCAGCCTTCTGTTTTCTAAGTCCCCAGTTCATTTCCTGGAGGCTAAAAGGTCTGTTGGAAGCAGGGTGAAGAGAAAGTGCACCAGAGCAGGGATTCCTTGCAAAGTGGATCCAGAGGGCAGGCAGCTGAGATGGAAATTATATTCACAGATTCCAACAGCCAGCCAAGGAGGCTGAACCCTTCTGTACCTTCTCTTGTGAGCAGGTAGAGGTTCTGGGAACCCACAAGAATTTCTCCTATTTATCCTCAGCAGAAGGCAGGAAGGAAAAAAGCAGCACTCTGGAAAGTGCCATTGCCACCTACAGCACAGAAATTCCCCTTAAAGAGTTCAAGCATTTTCAAAATCCTTTCCTCAATGAGAACTAGGAAGTCTAGAGATGCAAATCTTTCATCTCCATTGCCTTCCTCTCACGGAAAGCAAGCTCCCTGCCAAATGTTCATTCTATCCTCACTTCCATTGCATCCTCGGCACCACACAGTCAAAAAATTCCAAGAAACTGTTTTGCTTGGGTTTGGCTTTAGCAAATGAGATGGTCTGTTTGCTCTTTGCAGAGGCTAAGCAGATTAAGCATAAAGCTAAAACTCAGTAGCCTCTTCCAGCTGTTAGCGAGCTTACTAAGACCCAACATGACCCAAATAATGAGCAATTTAAAAGAAACACAGCTCCTGTTCACAAGTTCTCTCCTTGCAGCATTTGCAGAAGAATCTAGTGATTTCAGTGATAGGTAAATGTATATGGTGCAATTTGTTCCTATCAAATTGTATGAAGTGTGTGTGGGGGGGTATTGTACCTTGTGTCACTCCTAAATTACAGTTACAGGAACACACAGATTAAACAACCACAGCAGTCAAAATTAAAATGCTATGCCTGGCTGGCCCTATTAACAGAACACTGGCTACAGAATCTTTACTATTGCAAGAAATTCCATACAAAAAAGCTTAAATCTTCAGAAAGTATTTGTAGTGTTGACCACTATGATAGGCCTTTTTTCCTTTCTTTCTCATTTCCTCCCTCGCTCAAAAAAAACCCAAAAAACAAGCCCAAAGAGAGAAAACCTTTTTCTTGTGACAGGTGCAGCTCTAAAAATAATAAGATGGCACAGAAATCCAAATTTTATACAAGTACCTTTCAGAGCAACATACTTGAAGGTTAGGCCTTACAGTAACATTACTGTAACTACAAGGCATTAGCTTGCTTGCTTCTCTCAAGTGCACAGGCCTAAGAACCACCAGACAGGTTAAAAAACAGTCTTGAGCTACTCACACCAGTGAGGTCAGTGACTCTGCCTTGGATGATGACATGTGAGAAGTTGGCAGTGAGGTGTCAGTAGGGACAAATTTTTGAAAGTAGGACACAGGGATGCAAAATGGGATCCACATCCCTTTCGCTAATCTCAAGTAAAGTGGTCATAAACGCAACATCATCACTCAAAGAAATGTGGCAGTCTATTTGGACACAACTTAGAGGGAGAAAGTGGAACTCAGAAAACTGCATCAGGTTTTTGTCTTGACAGAAATAATGAATGGACACATATTTCCCTGCATCTCACCTTTCTCATTACAGCAGCACCGGGTTGGGCAGCAGACACACCGGATGTGGCAGCAGCAATGCTGGGGGCAGCACTGGCACCAACATATTCCAATCAGCAGGAGGAGGAGGAGGCCACCGAGGACGATGAGGAGTACTGTGAGCCAGTCTATGGGAGAAATGGAGAGAGAAAGAGGATCCTGGCATACCTGGTTACAGTAACTTACCAAGCACCTTTCCAGGACTGGAGAAATATTGGGAGTGGGGAGGAAAAGAACAGGAGGAGATACCTGTTGCCCAGGCAACAGGAACTTACGTAAAACAATTAGCTTAACTTCTTTGTCCGGATCCCCTGAGGTATCTCCTGGTGCTTCCACAGTGCAGTAGTATACACCATGGTCCCACCACATGACTTCACTGATAACAAGGTCTGCCCCTGTGGGAGAAGGACCGAGAGGTGAGCAGAATATTTGAAACGGACACTCCTTTCAGACTCTAAGAAGGCCCCTTGCCTGCAGGCAGTATCGACTACTGCATATCCCCTACCCCAAGGGTAGCCATCACATTCAGACAATCCTCTAGGATCACTGACAAATTCTGTGAATAGCATTAACTGCCAGTCCTATTTCTCTTTGTGTTGCTGAAAGGCAACATTACTTAGAAGGGTAACTAGTTCTGTGTGCAGTAAAACAACAGAGTGTTTCTGGGTCATGTATGTTAAAAAGCACGCTGCCAGCTGCCAGCACTGGTTTTGGAACACATACTCTTGTAATCATTAGGCCAGACATCCCAGTAACTAACTCCCTTGCAGCAGCAACAGCTATTGCTCCACGGACAGCACAGAGCATATAGTGCACCTATAAAACTATGCAGTGTTTCTTGAAGGAAATAACTGTCTTCTGGCCTGTGAACTCCTCAACTTATCTTCACTCTTCAGCAAAATGCTTGGGTATCCTCAACTCAGCCTTAACTTGTAGTGCCTCCAACACTTTTAGGCTAGGTAGGGGACAGAGGACCCGGCCCCTCAAAACCCTTTTTCACAAAATCACACACAGAGTCACTTGAGTTAGAAATGACACCTAAAAGTCATCTAGTCCAAGTCCCCTGCAATGAACAGGGACACTTACAGCTAAATCAGGCTGCTCAGAGCCCCGCCCAGCCTGACCTTGAATGTCTCCAGGGATGGGGCACCTACCACCTCTGGGCAACCTGTGCTGGTGCTTCACTATCCCTTATGCAAAAAACTCTTTCCTTAGACCCAATCTAAATCTCCCCTCTTTTAGTTTGAAACAATTCCCCTTGTCCTGTCACAACAGATCCTACTAAGGAGCCTACCCCTTTCTTTACACACTGAAAAGTTACTCTCAGGTTTCTGGCAAGAGACTTCTCCAGGCTAAACAGACCCAGCTTTCTCAGCCTGTCCTCACAGGGGAGATGCTCCATCCCTTGAATCCTTTTTGTGGCCCTTCTCCAGCAGGTCTATGTCTCTCTTGTACTGAGGACTCCACATCTGGATGCAGTACTCCAGGTGAAGTCTCACCAGAGCAGTGCAGAGGGGCAGGATTACCTCTCTCCACCTGCTGGCCACAATGCTTTTGATGTATCCCAGGATACAGTTGGCTTTCTGGGCTGCACACTGCTTACTCACATCCAGACTGCCATCCATCAGTACCCCCAGGTCTTTTTTGGCAGGGCTGTGATCAGTTCTTTCATCTCCTAGCTTGTATGGATAGCAGGGCATGCAAGACCTTGCACTTGGATTTGTTGAACATCATGATATTCTCCTTGGCCCACTGCTAGACCTGCTTAGGTTTCCACTGCCACGTCACAGAATACATAAGCCACAGATAACGTTACCCATATTTATGCTTTGCTTTGCTCTGTAAGCCCATGTACTGGATAGTTCACTGCCTGCCTGTGAGGCCAAGTCACTTACGGTTCTGGATGGTGATCTTTCGTTGCCGGTAGTCAACACCCAGCACAGGCTCATTCTGCCCATATTTCTGGATGACAATGCGCACCTTTCGTTGGACATCATTGCAGTCATCAGACGGGTCCTGGCCAAGAGCTAAACTGGCTTGGTACGCTATAAGCACACATCATCAAATAAGATGCAAAAAATTATTTCAAAGGGCCAATTTCTATCTCCTTGTACGCAGCAGAGAACTCCTGAATGCACGTGCACTTGCTTTTGTTCAGTAAGACAAAGCACAGCTTCAGAAGAGAAAAGATACGTTGCTTTGGAGGGCTTAAAAGCAAAAAAGACGAAGGGCCACAGGAATGACAGAGATTTTGAGAGCTGTAGAGGAGCTCCTGTGCTCACAACTGAAAGAACAACAGCACAAAGAACCTAAAAAAGGTGAGAGGGCAGGACCGAGTACAAAAACAAACTGCAAGGAAAAGAGTCACAGAACTCCAAGAATTATTGGAACAAAAGCAAAATTGTGTTTATTTAACAACAAAAAATATCTCCAGAAACATAAAAACCACTGTGGGATTGCCTCCCTTTCCTTTCTCTATCTCATTATATGTTATGGGGCTCCTAAAGACAGGAAAACCCATCCTTCCATTCCTGTACAAGACTATATTGTATAGAGACCCAAAAATACTCATGAAAGACTAGAAGCAATTTCTGACTAATACTCTTACAAAAGATTCACAGTGTAACCAAATATTGAGTTGCCAGGCATCTGAGAACTGAGATTTGTGGAGACTACTGATACAGGCACTCAGCACTGTCTGTAGAGGACTTGCAATGAAGAGAAGACAGGACAAACCTTGTCAAAAACATGGCTGTGTTTACAATGGATCACAAAGAGAAGATCCACATAAACAAACACCATGACTTTCGTGCTTTCTATCCTTGCTGGGGACTATGAATTTGAACCACATTACTCTGGGAACAGCAGAGCATCAGACCCACCTGTTTGCAGATTTGGCTATAGACCACATGCTTATCCAACCCATCCAGAGATCAGAGATGGAATTCAGGCACCAAGACACCAAACAAGTTTAGGGTCTTCATTCTTAAGCATGCAATTAAGCTAAGGCTGGCCAGTTTAAACACAGTATCTTAAACACTCCTGAAACAACGCAACAAGCACCAGAATATCTGCATATAAAGCATTGCCATTATTATTAAATACTATTGCTTAGAAGCCTCACTGCACTCCAAAGAGCATGTTTCTGCCTAAAATCAGTAACAGTCACTGGTCTCCAGCTTCAAAATTATTGCCTCCCATGTAATCATTAAGTCTACATGTTGCAAGACATTTGTTTTCAAATATGGGGCTGCCAAGTCTGACACACGTAAAACATGGTTAAATCTGTCTGCCTTCTGATCTGATGACAAGGAGGACAAACTGTTTGGCTGGGATTTCTATGATACAGTACCATAAAGTCGTGACGTTGCAAAGGAAATCACAGGCCCAATCTTGTTTTCTTGGATCCTGGCAAAACACCACTGCCTGACCTACTCTGTGGTCAGGCAAAACCTATATTCCCCAGTAAGTCTGCCTCCCTGTTCCTTTACATTTGAAGAGCGATCCCTTGGGAGACAAGCCTGATACTCACAGGCTGAGTAGTAATCAAAGATGGGGTCCTTGCAGAAGGATTTGAAGCGCCAGGTCACCACTACGTCCTGCAGCTGGGCTGAAGTGCTGTAATCACACTTGAGGGTAATGCTGGCAAATAAGGTGGTGTAACGCTCAGTATCCTGCACTGTCACCAGCAGGGAGAGGCAACCTGCAAAAAAGAGCACAGGAGGCAGTCAAGCAGCAGTGGCAGATATCACAGCATAACTCTCACTCTGCATCAGGCCAACAACTGAAGTACACCTCCCTTGGCCTCACACAGGACCTGAATTTATAGACCCATTTTTTAATAAAGCTGTTACTGTGTATGTTGAGAACTCATCCATAACAACTTCCACAGCACTGTCTATCCAAACAGCTGCATACATCCAGTCACGTTTTATGATGTTTTTCATAAGCTATGCTTTATTTTAGCCACACTCAGAGACATCTCTATCTTGTTTAAACTTTGATAATACATTAATCTGTACTTGTCATTAACAACAGAAAAGTTATCACAAGTTGCCTTTGATAAGGCAATACAAATAGTGTGGAGTGAGCGTAGGAGATGCCCTGTCTGGAACATATCCCAGGAAACAGGAAAGGCTCGTGGTGCTGTGCTAGGTGCTTCCAGACTGGGAGCATGGGAAACAGGGAAGGAGAGAAGAAAAGAGAATGTCTAAAATTACCAAAAGGATCATAAACTAGCACTTGTATTCCAAGTCTTTCCCTGTAATCTCATATTCAGAACCAAGAATAAGGGGATATATAACATCTGGATCACACCTGCAAGCATCATTCTTTCAGTGCCCTCTTAGGCTGCATGGAGTATGCTCCTGACAAACATAAGCTCATCCAGTTTCCACCACATAGCTGCAGAGGTGCAGCATTGTCTCAACACGTATTTTTGCAGCTGGATACTATTAATGCAATACTTGCTTGGTTTCTGGTTTGAAAAAAAGACTTGTGGCCAGCCAACTCAAAGCAGAGAAGAGCAAACTCTTTTGCTAATCATGGTAAACTCTGAGTCCAAGACCTTTTTGAAAAATAAAATATACGCAGGCTTAAACACAGAAATAATAGCAATGGTGCAAAATTCTAGCAACATGAAGGCTGTTTTTTTACTGTACAGTAGTTAGACAGGGTCCAGACTAGTGACAGGTAGCTGCTTTGACTTTTACTTCATGGCACTGTACATTGACATATTTTGTTCCAGCTTTCATTGTGAAACAGCTCATACACAGGATCTTTCTGTGTGAAATCACAAGAAACCAAACCAAAAACCAAATCTTCGAGGCTGGCAAAACCTCAATCTCACTGGCAACCAAACAGATCTTTCCCATATGAATTCTGACCTTTACTGACACAGCTTTTCTCTATGCTCTCCGCAGCAGCATCTCTCAGACAAGAATATTCAATACAACTTTGTGCTTTTCAGTTACAGAAACCAAAGTTCTTTTTGCAGTCAGATGTCTCTGTACATCTGGTGTTTCATATAGCCTCCCAGCCAACACCACACAAGACAACTGTGAAATTAAGATAGGTTCCTAGGGTTGAATGACACTCCTCTCCTGCACGATGCTCTTTTTTCTGCTTGGAAAGAACAAATCTGGGACTACCAACCCAGCAAGCTATTGTTAACTCATATCTCTGTCCTACTTTGAAAAAGATACTGACCTTTAGAACCGGTGAAGCCAATTTTTAGCTAGTACATCAAACAGAAATGCTGCTGTCAAGCTAGACAATCAACTGGCATACCTCTGTATTTTTCACTTCATTTACCGTTTCCCTTTTTGGTGCTTAAAGCTACATCATCAGCAAATATACCATTGACTCAAGAAGCAAAACGATCAATTTGGTCCCTACAGGAGATCAAAAGCCATCAAGCAACCTGCAAAACTTGGAAGAAAGGCCGCCTCCGGACAGGGAGGGCAGCTCTGGTTTCCATGCAGGAGCACACCCAGCAGGTACCGAAGCGGTGCAGTCGCATCAGATCATAACGTGGCTGGGGCACTTGCGGACACGCCGGAGGGGACCGCTGCGTGTCTTCCCGCGCTCAGGCCCAAACCAACCTGCAGTACACAGGCGACACGGGAGGCGGCCGGGAAGCAGGGGGTCACTTCCTCCTCGGCCACACACGGGCCTCGCTCTCGGGGTAACGAAGCCACGCGCGGACCGGCCTCGCCATAGCCGGGGCGAGGCCCTGGGCTGGGGCAGGCGCCTCAAAACCTGTCCCAAAGGGAAACGAGGTGGGACACCGCAGTCGCTCTCCCGGCCAGGCGCTCCTTATCCCGACCTCTCCCCTCGCCCTCACTCCGAGGGTTCCTCCCGGCCCCCGCTCGGTACAGGTGTCAAGAGGCGGGGACCGGCCCCGCTCCGCCGCGCGGTTTCACTCACCGGCCGGCAGGCAGGCCAGCAGCAGCCAGGCGAGCGGCGGCGCCATGGCGCGGCCTCCTCCTCCCGCCCGGGGCCGTCGCGACAGGCCACCTCGCCGCGCCCACGGGCCCTCCCCTTCCCGTGGCACCTGTCCCAGAGCCGGGCCGCCGCCCGCGGCAGTCCCCTCCCCTCGCTCCCTCTCTCCTTTCCCGGGCCCGTGGCGGACGCCTCTGCTGTGGGCAGGTGCGCCTTCCTGCCCTTCCACACTCTTGCCCTGCTGCAAGCGGGGAGGACGCCGGCTCCCAACTTCAGAAACCTGCTCCAAGATGAGTGTTTATCAGTAGACATATAAACACGCACAGGTTGTGTGTGGCTGGCAGCAGGTGTGCTCAGCTTCACTCCCCAAGTACACGGAGGGGGACTTACGTGAGGGTGAGGACTCTGGCCCCTTGCCTTGTAGAGCAGGAGCCCTCCCTGACAGCGGCAGCCCTGCGTCACTACTCCAGTTTCTACTGGATGGAGCCACAGAATATCCCAAGTTGGAAAGGACCCACAGGGATCACCGAGCCCAGCCTCCACAGAGGATCACCCAAAATCCAAATCCTGTGTCTGACAGTGGTGTCCAAACGCTCCTTGAAACTCCCGCAGTTCGGGTCCGCGGTGGGCGCAGACATAAATACTCATTTTTGAGCGGGTTCTGTTAGCGTTGGAAAAGACAACCCAAGCATAACCCTCCCGCCCGCCTGACCTATGGGCAGAATCGCTGCCGCCTCCGCCCCAGCCGTTAAAAAGCGTAAAGGTTCCCCAACCCTCCAAACTACCGCTCCCAGAGTGCTTAGCGGAGCGGTTGCCTGGAGACCGGTAACGCCGCGCTGGATGTGGCCCTAGGTAAGCGCTGGGCTCCGGGCACGGCTCCGGCTCCATCACCATCACCCCTCACACGGACTGTTGGCCCCTCCGTGCAGCCTCCCCTGAGGCCCTGCAGGACTCCTTAGGGATCGCTTCCCTGCCCCTTAGCTCGCAGCCTGCCGCAGCGCCCCCCTGCCTGCCCGTGGCCGCGTCCTGCTGTCCTGGTGAGAGGCGGCCGTGGAGAGGAGCGTTGTCGTCGGGTCACGCTGCTGTCCGCCTCACCGCACGGCCACCGCCACGCCTCTGCGTGCTGAAGTACGCATAAATGCTTAGCTTATCTTGAAACAAATGTTCTGCGGCTGAAGCGGGCAATCCTTTATCTCTGAAATGTGGGACATGTTGGTTTTGCTGTACTGCCTGTGAAAAGGCCATTTTTTTTTTTTTTTTTTTTATTGCATACGTGCTCTGTAGTTCATTTTTCTGGCTTCCCTTTACACCGTGTGTTAATAATTAACTGTGGTGATACGGCCTGTTTCATATCTTGCTTGACCGAAACCTGATTACTCACCTTCATCTGCACGGCAGGCTCTAATAGACTTAGCACTCTCACTTGCATGAGATAGATCTGGGATGTCTGGGTTGTACAAAGAGCTGTTTTAGTTTGAAATTAGAGTTAGGTTTTATTCCTTCTGTTTTGTTGGAAAATAGTTTGTGTGCAACACAGCAATAGTCAGGTCTACGCAGGGCTCTGCTGTCCACTTCTTTCATCTCTCTGTTGGAGAACAAAAGACATAATGGGGCTATGGGGGTGGTGATATGTCTAGATCCTGCTTTGCAACTGCAGCCTTGCTGTCTCTGGCTAGTAAATATTTTATATGCATAACCTTAATTGCTGCAAGAATTGATAATTTGTGTCTTCTCTCTCCTAAGTCCTCCGTTTTACAAGACAGCAATATTCTCTACTATGAAAAATTATTTCCTAGGGATTTCGTGCTGATTGCCTGGAGCTGATTTTTAATACTAATTTTGTGGTAATGCAGACTGATAATGACACACAGACAGCGCTATGCCAGCTATGCCTGATTTACAGTTGTATGTTTTTTGCTGTGTATATGAGCACTTAAACATTTTAATTTCATTTGGAGTGAAGTTTAGTTTTGCAGAACTCTGTTGTTTGCACATGTTGTGGCTACCAGTGGCCCAGTAAATTGCTGGCATACTGTGATGTGGTCTGAAAGCTAAATGGAATCCGTAGTTATTGAATGGTGTGCTGCTTTTTATAAAGAGAAGGAAGAGCCAGAAAAAGCTACCAAGAGAACGGCAACTGAAGTTGAATTAAACAGAAACAGCTTGGCAAATGGGGAGAAATCTGACACTTTCAAAGCAGAGCTAGACTTGAGAAAGCAACCTGGGACAGTTGTTTAGTGCCTAATTCCTCATGGCAGACACCCCTCTTAATAGCCAAAAGTTCCAGTCCTTAGTTCAAGCGCATTACCTCCAGGCCAGAAATAGCAGTGAGTAGCCCATAAATATTATGCTAAAAGGAATCAGGATTGGAATTAATAAAGGAAAACAAAGTCCTGGGATCACCTGAGTTTTTTTTCATGTGGACTAAAGACAAGGAAAGGAAGAACACAAGAGTGTCTCTCATGAAGGAAAGAACAAGTTACTGAAAGTACATTTTGAGTTTTGTTCAATACTCACTGGTGGCCAAAACTTTTGTAAAAGAAATTGCAAAATAATAACTAATAGATATGTTTGATTTCTAAAGGATAATAACTGTTGGCCACATTTTAATCATTATTTAATTCAATGCTTTTTATGCTGTTGAAGCATCAGTCATGAGCTTTGTGAAGGCAAGTACTGCATTTATGAAGCTTTACACATACCTCAGACAATTGTATCATATATTTGAAATACAAGGAAAATCAAATCAAATGAGCATTTATTTGACATGACAAACAAATTCATTGAGACGGCACTGTCATCCCACATTTTTCCTCTTTCTGGGGAAAAAAAAAAATAAAAATAAATGTGTAAAGATTCATAAGTGCAGTGCACAGGAAAAGAAACTCAGAACTCAGAGGGATTTTGTCACACCGAACTTGCATGAAAGTTTTCTTGGATCAGTCAATCTGCAGAACTGCAACAAAAGTGGACATCCTTCTCCTGAACCTCCTCAGAGCCTTACAATTATATTATTTTTGGCACAGTCTTTGAATGCCATCGTAGTAATATGTACAGTGAACATTACAGGAGCTTTCTGTGACTAGAACCCGGATAATGATGAGGCAGAAATGTTCAGACCCTCTTTCAGCCTAAAGCATTTTCCAGAGAGGAGTTAATTTATAATGAAAACTACGATAGACTTAATTTTTAGAAGATAAATGATTGGTAATTAGTTGCAATAATTTGAAATGTTATAGCACTTTTCTCTATGGATATCAAAACACTTTGCCAAGATGGGTAAGCATTATTATCTCATTTTTCACAAGAGATAACTGAGACAGCCAGAGGTGAAATGGCTGATAGAAACTGTACACGTCCTTACTGGGTTTGGAATTGGAGTTCAGGTCTCTGAAGACTCCACTGTGTATTTATGCAACTAGTGTGAAACTTTCTTCAATAGTATCAGTTCTGTCATTTCATTAAAATTATTTCAATATATTGAGATATACTGTAGTTGTTTTGATTTGTTTTCTGAATTCAACATTTTTCTGCGTGTCTATTTTTGAGCACCCCTGAGGGGTAAACGCTCATTTTAGTTCTTAAAAGAAATTACGCAGATAATTCAGACTGACAAAACCTCAGATCCTTCAGATGAAGATTAAGTAGGGTAAGTTGACTATATAATGGCATTAATGGCATGTCTACAATATGTCTTTGATTTCATTGTCTTTCTGGGGGGGTGGCATTATGTTTGGACACTCTGCCTTTCCTGAAATACCTGAAAAGACCAAGATAACACAAAATATTTTTTTCTCAAACATAATGTGCCCCAATGTCAGAAAGAAGAAATGCATCTTTAGGGATTTATTCTTGCTTTTGAAGTCCAGCTTACACATTCAGACCAATTCATTTTCATACTGGCTCTATTTGTTATGCTGAATATTTAGATTTTTTTATATTCAACTAATTAATTTCCTGAATTCTGTAGTATTTGTACATAATTGCTCCCATGTCTGTTTTGCTTTTTGTGAAATCTACCAGAAAGGTTTTCTCTCAAAAACAATACTCACCTGAGTACACTAAAGAGAAGCCCAGAACATGCAAATTTCTCTTCTGCTTCTTCCCCTGTTGCACAGTAATTAGATGACAGTCTTTCTGTAGCAATGTACACAGAGCTCAGAGGTCTGAAAACTGAACCAATTAATTCACCCTATAAAGTAGGACATATTCTTGGATTTTCCATACTTGTAGTGTACAGGCAGATCACAAATATTATGTTTGGGAATCTCAACATTGTGGAGGAAATGGAAATAATCTGAAGTTAGTCTAAATTAAATAGTTCATTGCTAAAGGCAATAATACTAAAAGTTTTTTTCACTGCCTTCAGATAAAGAGGACATGTCATCTCCAAATGAAAAGGAGGGAGCAGATGAGAAGGCAGCAGAAGGTACACAGGCAGATCACAGCAGTGCCCGTAAGTACTTTCTGATGTTACAGTGATTCCAATAGTAAACCCACAGCAGCTCCTGGATTCTCACACTGCTCACACCTTCCTTTCTAGTATGAGTTCATCTTTGGTTACCATTCTTAGTGCTGTCAAATTTTGTTTTGAGCCTGGTCAAAGATGACTTCTTCCAGAAATGTTCTGGACTGACTGCTGTGTCAGTGGTTCTTGTCATCCTGCAGCCTGCAAAGTCTCTCCCCTGACAATTTTTGCTGCTTAGATCTGTTTCCATAGCCATTACTGCAATCAATTTGCTTTAAAACATTCTTATTTGGAAGCAAACTTCTCTCTACACTTCTTGCTAAACAGCAAGAAGTCCACTGTTTGACAGGCTTTTTTCGCTTGTTTTGCTACAATGGAACTATACTAGATAGATCTATATTTAACCTGATGTGTATAAAGAAATTAGTTGAATTAATTCATACCTAAGAGATCCCAATTGTCCTTTACAGAAGAAAGCAAAAGTAGTCTTCCAAAGGAATCACCAGCTGGAGAGGAAGAAGAGGAAGATGTGGAGCATGTGGAAACAGATACAGAGAGCATTGGTGGTACTGCTATCCTTTGGGGGGATGTTGGCATTAACTTAAAAATCCCACTGCTTTCTAGTTTTCATTTTTTGTCCGTTGTTGTTATGAACAGCATCTCACACCAGTGCCATCGTGCTACAGTTACAGAGTTTCACTGAACCCTTCCTGTTGGCTTACTTTGTGTACTTCTTTTCACTCTTTTTCCTTGCTGGTGTCTGACCCCTTAGTTGGTTGAGGGGGAGAAAAAGAAATTAATATAGGGTAAAAAGCTTGCAGAATCGGTCATGGAGATTGAGTTTGAGGTATCTAACTTGAATTCAGTTTTAACAATTGCTTCTGACTAACTGGAATTCAAGTTGATGATATTTTGCATTGCAGTCCAGTAAAGAGCTTCACTTAGTAACACATTAGCAGTATGCATGTTCTGAGACAGTGTCTTAAGGTGGTCAGCTGTGTATGAAAGAGCAAAGAGCACTTGCTTTTACTAATAGTTTTGTATGATGATTCAGCAGATGCTGAAAAGAGACATTTCAAATACTGTTTTGTTTCTAAAGCTGAGCCCTAAGCACCAAAGCTGAACTACTTCAGCATCCTAGGCTTTGAGTTTTAAAACCAATGTTTTTAAAATATTCTCATTTTTTCCTCCTCTAAATTCTTCAATTTTCACAAGTATTCGCAGAGTTTTTAAAAACAGGAGAGCAGGATTGTTCCAGGACAAGCTGTTACTAACACAGCATATCCCTGTGTTCAGCTATGGAGTGCCTATTACTTTGTCAAAGGAGACAATGCATGAATCCCTCTCTTCCTCAGTTAAGTACAAATATCAGCAAGAAACCTAAGATTTATCCTAAATATAAATATTCTTTACGTTTCCACTTCTGACATGCAGCGGATGATTTGGAAGAACAAGATAATACTGAAGTATCCCCAAAAGAAGAAAAAACCCCTGAGAGGAAAGAAAAGAAAATCTCAGAAACTTTCTTCTATAGTTATGAAGATATATGTTCACGGCCATTTGTCACTGAAGACTCAGGGATACCAATTAACCTTCTTACTCTGAAGTATCCTTTCTGTTGAGGCTGTGCAAATTTAAGGCTAGGTATTTCTTAATGTATGTTGATAGAATTGTACTTGTCTACTTAGGAGTATCCAGTATGGTGTTAGTGGAATACCCTTGGTTGAGGCATGGATAAGAATCTAGTAATGGTCCTGGATGAATTTAACCTTAAACACTGCCTTGACCTTACAAACATTTCTTATTAGGCATAATTTTTCCTTTCCTTTTTTTTTTTTTTTTTTCTTTGCAAACACAGTCAAGTTGCTGTTGAAGACTGGATTTTCTATTCTCTACATCTGCCTGCAGACATTTAAGAAGTGAACCTGAATGTTTCTTTAGTTTGAATGCTTGCCTGTAAAAGAGTTCTTAGTACTCAAATGCACACTTCTTATATTATATTTGAAAAAAGATCACCAAACTGATAAAATGTGAATTTCTAGCTGCCCCAAAGGATTCTGCAGAGGAAAGAAGTGTACTCAGAAATGGAAGTGAGAAGGTGGAGCATGAAATTTAGAAGGTCTTTCCTTTGCTTTCCCCTCAGTTATAGAAACTCAATATTGTTTACCTTCCTGTGCGTTGAAAAAAACTTGCCTACTGACAGACTTTTAGTCACTGGATTCAGTATTCTTGTGTCAGTTTTGGTGTAAGCATTTCTATCCATTGAGTAAACTATTCTTGAAAGCCAGCATCAAATCTTTTCCTTAATGAATTGTTCTCAGATATTCTTTTGGATATGACTGCATCAGAAGTGTAAACCTGATGGTGATGGATAGCCAAAGCCTACTCTATGTAGCAGGCAACCAAGTGGTGATTCTGGACCTGAAAACTAAATCTCAGAGTTACCTCCGGAGCAGCAGTGGAGGTGGAATTGGGTTTATTGCGGTATGCCTTTCTTTTTTAGGATGTTAGTCCTTCTTATAAAACAAAATGGTCACTTTGTTGCCTAATGGGAGATTTCCACAGCTGCAAGTGTAAGAAAGTATGGTATTGATTAAAGGAGTGTAGTGCACCATGCAGTACAGGCTAACTCAATCTGTCAGTATAATCAACAGAGCACAAATATCTGCGTACTTGTCTCAGGCCTACATAATTGAAAGGACTGATAAGTGCTGGCTGAGATTCATTTCAGTATCTATTACATTCTTATTTAAGTATTAGTACTCATTTCAGCTCTCTTCTTTCTTTCTCTCCCATTCATAGCTAATACTGATTTATTGTTTTGTCAGTGGTTAAAACTTAGAAAATTAGCAACCTAAATAAATGAAGAGAAAAAGGATTTGGCTTCACTCTAGGAAACTCCTATGAAAAGCTTGGAATCTCAAATGTTTATACGGTTTTGTGGCACCTTACCCTGTGAATAGCTCTGCCATCTCTCAGTCGTACTATGAGCAAAGCTTTCAGTATACCAGCCTCAGTCTGTTCTGCTGATATAAGCAGCCTTTCATAGAGAATCGTGGTGCATCTGTCCATCTTCAGAAAAATGTAATTCAGGATGGCATTTCTGCATCATTCTGTGTAGATGAATGCTGACCCAAATAGTGCATATGGAAAGATCAGCTAGTGAGTTAAGTAGGAAAAGTAAAAGAATGCACAATAATGGCTTCATTCAGGTATTGAGCAATGGACTGGCAGTTGTTCAGGAAAAGCATACAGAAAAATGCAACTTAGTATTTACAGCAGTATCTTTTGACTGAAACTGAACTTTTGCTTTTCAAGGCACACCCTACTAAGCAGTACTTTGCAGTGGGAGAAAAAGGAGAGAAACCAAACCTCATCATCTACGATTATCCTTCACTGAGGCCTTACAGAATACTACGAGGTAGTGTAAAAAGTACTATTTTCATTTTACATAAATGGGTGGTGTTTGTAGATCCCAGTAGATGGAGTAGCACCTCACTTTATAAGGAATTAAAATTTTTGGTATTCCATGCCAAAACAAAAAACACCAGTTTCCAGCTTTTTCATTACAAGTGGAGAAAGCTTTTATTTAGTAGAAACAGCCAACTTCTGTGGATGTTGAGCTCCCCTTAAACAGTTTTTCCTATTGTTTCTTCCTTTTTCCCATGCATGTGTGGATTGGTATGTTTCTCCAGATGGAACAAAAAAAGGCTATGTTTTTGGTGATTTCAACCATACTGGCACTCTGCTGGCCAGTATTGGAAGCAGCCCTGACTACATGTTGACTATCTGGGACTGGAAACAAGAAAAGATTGTGTTAAGGTCAAAAGCTTTCTCACAGGATGTTTACAGAGTCACGTTTTCTCCAGATAACGAAGAACAGCTAACTACAGCTGGAGTAGGACACATCAGGTAGGTTTACCAATTATGTTTAATATGTATCAGTTCTAAAGGCATAGTACCTAGATGGTGACTAGCAGGAACGTATCATTAGCAAACACACATGAGTGGGGAATGCTGTTTTACCCTGTCACTGCAAATGCAAAGCCAAAAAGTCTTTCAGCTAGTCAGCAAAGTCTTTTAAACACCCTTGTTCTCAAAAAGGGATGATGCTTGGCATTCAATATGTATACTGCTGGCTTCATTCTTGTAATTCCAACAAACACTGTGGAGAACTAATAAAAAATATATGTACCTACCTGTCTTGTAGGTGTTTACACAGCATTCATGCCTCCTCAGCTTTCTACCAGTGATTTATTGAGCTCAGCTGCTGTTTGGGTAGCCAGTAGAACTGGCTGTCAAGTCATGGGTTAGAAAGTCACTACATTATTTACATTATTTATGGAATACATTATTTATGGAAGTCTGACAAAAAAATCTTTTATAAACTTTCTTTTGAGCTAAGATACTATGAATAAGATCTGACATAGCTTTATAACACAGATATACGCAACTCTTAACACATACGTATTCAAATCCCTATTTCCAGCACTTAACTTAAATGTAACATTTCCTGCACACACTGTGTACCATCCCTAAGTGCAGTATATGTTTATTTTTCTGTAAAACAATAATTGAAAACAATATTTTATACTGCAAAAAAATATAATGATTGACTAGGAATAGCTGTGAAGGTCTAGGGTAAAAGTTTTTGCTCACTGGGATTTTTACAGTCACACTCAAGTCCACGGAGTTGTTTGTACGAAAATTAGAGAAGAATTTAGTCCCTTGGATTTACAGAATTAAACATCATACACTAGAGATAGCAAGAGTAAAATAGGCAACTAGAAGTATGTGTATGGGTTGTATCTGGAAAGATATAGCTGTTAATTTAACAGTTATTTGTTTTAAATAATAGTGTTAAATTCTCCTGGGTTTTTCTTAAAGGTAATATATGGGAAAGTTTGTGTGTTTACAAACCTTTATCTCATTAAAACAAACAAACAAAAATATCCAAGGTCTCCTGTGAAAAGTAGTAAGGAATGAACAAAATGGAATCCCTGGTAAGATAATTACAATGTCAGAGAGTCTGAAGAGTGTGTCTAGGAAATCTTGTATCAGAGAGGGATGTGCTTCCTTTACTCAGGTTCTGGAAGATGGCTCACACATTCACTGGTCTCAAGTTACAAGGAGCTTTGGGTAGGTTTGGAACAACAGCAGTGACTGACATTATAGGGTATGTGGAGCTGCCCGACGGGAAGGTAAGTCGCAATAATTTTAATTGATTTTTATGTTCCTTCTTGTGTTTTGATGAAAAGTTTGAGTAAGTTGGAGAGTTACTATTTACTTCTGAGTGATAGGAGTTAGACCCCCAGTGCACTGCTCTAATAAACTAATATTGACAGTAATTTGCCAAGGAAAGTTGCTTGCTTTGTAATAATTGAAAAGCATGTTTAACATTATTCCTGGACAAAAGATCTCTATTGGTTTAGAACTGAGACTCCTCTTATAGCACAGTAAATATGTTCGTGTAAAGAAATGAAAAGTATGTTAGTCACGTCTTCAGTCACTTCAGAGCAGGTAAATGATGTCATATTCCTTAAAAGTTGAATCTTTTCTTCCTTTACAACTTCTCTTGAAAATACCTGTGCATTGCTATCTATTTAATGCTTTTGTAGTAGGAAGTCACAAAGTTAAGCAGATTCTTAACCATGCAGAAACACTGGTAAAGTACAGTTGCTTGTGTGCTTCTCTCCGTTTGCACTGAAGGTCATCTCGGGGGCTGAGTGGGGCAACTTGCTGCTTTGGGAAGGGGGCCTCATCAAAGTAGAGCTCTGTCGAGCTGGACACAAGCCTTGTCACAATGGCCCTGTCAGCCAGATAGTTCTGGATGAAGGAGAACTTATCACTGTTGGAAAAGATGGCTTCATTCGGGTGAGTTTTTTTGCTCTGCTTTTGGGTGTACAAATCAGCAGATAGATGTCATGTATTTTCTCTGCCAGGGCTTATTAATGGAGACATCTTTGCATTGCAGTTGCTTGCTGAGAATTAATTTTTAGATGAGAATAAGGACCAGTCTCCACAGTGTACATGTTTGAATCAGGTTCTGTTTCATTCTGGTAAATGTTGTTTCAAAGGATAAACAATGGCAACATTGAAATTAATTTTCTGGTTATTTTAATGCTTAGGTCATTTATACAAAAATTAATTAAATCTCAGACATACATGTACTGAAATAGAGGAACAGTCAGAATAAAAAGTACTGGGTGTCCTGAAGTTAACACGTAATTCTATAAATTAAAGTAAAAATGATTTACTTATTCATACTAGTTTCTGATCTCATCCATTAATTATCAAGAATTTGGCAGTGTTGTGTACCTGCTTTTTAAGGGGAGACAAGGTGTGTCTTCATTTGTGAAAGACCGAGGTAACTAACAGGAAGCTGTTGTAGACAGCAGAAGGTGTCTAACACCCTGTTTTTGTTGTTGTTGTTTTTTTAATAGTTCATAAATTGATTTTATCCCATTAGGAAAACTAACTTATTTCTAAGGGTGCCAATTGACATTTTGTTGTCATACCACAGAGCAGAACCACGGGTATGTTACTTTTCCCATTTGTCTCCATGTTGCCTCTGTATGAGCAATGCTCAGAGCAGTCAGATAACACTTACTTTCTATAACTCTGAGGTTATACTTTGCATTGCACTCAACTGTGTGAGATGGTATTTGCTAATTGTCAGTGTTCCAGGTTGTATTCAGAAAAGCGAGATGTGTGCTGACATACTTTACCTGTAGAATGTATCCTCTCTTGGTTTGTCAAGATTTTGAATTTCCCTATTGATTGCATGTGAAAACATAATCTGACCTAATAAAAGCCAGGTCTCTTTCTTTTGTTTTCAATTCTTTGAAGGTATGGAACTTTGAGGCAGTAGATCCTGCTGATTCTGTGGATGAGAAAGGGTTATTGGAGATAGAGCCTATGAATGAACTTCGAGTTGGCAAAAATGTCAGTCTAAGTTTCATGTGTAAAATTCATGACTGTGGACAGCCCTTTTGGTATGCTCAGGTAAGATACACTCAACGTACATACAGCCCTGTTGAGAAAATGAATGACAGAGGCAATGTTAATGAATAGCAGTAATACCTTACAGGTTGGTGCATCTCTTTTCTGTAGAATCAATCTTTTGGATTTGTATTTGCTGCGTAGTAACATGTAAGTCCATGGTTTGCAGAGCCTGAGCTGCCTAAGAGTAGGAGAGTGTCAAAATTTATTATTCAAGTTCTTTTGTCCTGGACCTATGGGTAGGACTGGTGAGACCAACATCACCACTTCAGTCATTTCATTTTCATAGTGATAATTACTAAGGAATTTTTAAAGAAGTTATTACGGGCACTTTTATTTCCACACTGAGGTTTGAAAATGTTCAAGTTACATGTTTTGGTTTTTTGCTTCTTCAGGATGCCAATGGAAAGATCTGGAAGCTGGATTTGACTTTTTCAAACATAGTAAGTTTATTTTCTTTTTCGATTTCTTCATTCCCTTTATAGTAACTTGTTTTAACTATGTGAGATGCATCTACAATGAAATTTGTGATTGGTGAAGTTGCAGAGCTGAAAATTTTAGTGTTGAAACAGATCTTTTTCCGAATGTTTTTTTTTTTTCCATAATATTATTGATAATCCTGCAGAGTCATTATAGTCAAAAGTCATTATTGATTTTTTTGCTTCCTGAAGTGTTGGCTGCTAAATTCAAATTATCTTAAACTGGAAATAAAAGCTGCATGTGTGCAGGAAATGAGTTCAAGGATTCCTTATATATTCCATTTAGTTGGTGTATTTGAAACAATCGCTGCGTTACCTCCTAATGACAAAAAGAAAAACTAGGAAAAACAAGGAGAACATATGCACTTCATATATTTTATCCAACTGACTTCTATTATTACTGCTGGAGGTGTTTTTGATGAAGGAATAGCTGACAAGGTAAAATGAAAGCATGTAATTTTTGCTCCAGGACATATGAAAACTAATGGGAATATTTCCTTTGATTGGAATAAATTTTAGGGAAATGGCTAAATAATGTTTCAAGAATTTCACGATTAGAAAAGATTATTAAAACATGCTCTAAAAAATAAGGTAAAGAATGGACAACGAAAATAGAATCCCTTGGATGATGAAAAAATTTCCCAGGTATTACAAGCCCTAGGCTTGACAGTATTTTCAACTTTTTGTTAAAAATGTTAATTCTAGGCTTAAACTACTTAATGGAAGTGGGTATTCTATAGTTCCCCTTATTTTTACGCTGGTGGCGTTCTAAATCAACTTAATGTTCCCGTACTGGTTTGCTGTTTGCTCATGATCTCTTAATGAACATTTGAGCTTCAAAAAAATAAAAATAAAATAATAATAATAATAATAAAAAAGCTGCCTATAGGCAACTCATGCCTGGCAAATTTTGTTTAAATTTTGCCTAGATTTTTCATGTTGACTGTAGTTATGGCTAGTAATAACTTCTAAGCACATAGAAAAACTTGTGTTTTTCTATTTCACACGGCAGACCCGTGATCCAGAGTGCCTCTGCACCTTTCACTCTAGAAGGATTGAGGCCATGAGTGTCTCTCCCATGACATACCTTGTGGCCACCACTGCTCTTGACCGTAAGTACACAATTCCTTTGTTCTTATACCACTGTAATCGTCTTTTTCAGAGCAATGATGATTGGTTTGGAACTATTTTCTTTTGAACAAATTGTGTATTTGCTCTTCAAAAACCGCTTTACAGACAGGTGTTATTCCTGGGATTAGTTCTTTTACAGTTAGGACAAGTCATTAACGTTTTGAAGTACTACTTTGGGACTGCCTCATCTTAAAAGCCTGGGATTTTCCTGGGAAAAGTTTTTAATGGGAAAAGGTTTTAATGGTGAGATTTGTAAATTGTTCTGAAGGAAGAGCTGAAAAGATGAGACGTTTGGTTTGAATAACAGTATTTGTATTCAAGCCTCCAGACTGGTAAGTGTTGGGGTCTTTGTTTTGTAAGGAATTACTTACATTTCAACCATTGTGTAAGTCATAGTGAATATTAATATTTGTGACTTTATTAGAAAAAGCAATATCTATCTCACTCTCAACAACAGATAACATGTTAGTTATATATACCAATTTATGTAAATATTGCTGTTTATGCCTCTTACTGTTAGCCTTACCACAATTTGAAAGAAGAACCACAAGACAGAACATTAACAGTGTCATTTATGATGCTTAGAAAATGCTACAAGATCTTTAACTCAATTATTGTCAGCTGTACCTTGTCATTTGTCTGTGTTATACAGTATACATCCACTTCTAGCCTGAAGATAAACTTGTAACAGTTGAGCAAATTACACTTAGGATATTTACCAGCTGGAATGGAATTTAATGCAAACCAATGTGTGCCTACTAATCTACCTCTGGTGAAATTGGATTTTCTTTGGAAAATCTTCCATTTCCATCCACTTAAATATTTTCCTCCCTAGGCAATTCCAAGTAGTAGTGTATCATCTTTTCCTACGTTGCCAGTACAGATTTCCCTTATAGTAGTCCACAGTTCTGCGATTATTCAAAAATTACACATGGTGTTCTCTTCAAAAGCATGGGATTTCTTATTACACCCCTCAGCCCTGATAACTCTTGGGGTTGATTTAAAAGAGTGAAGTAAGCTTATGTTTTGTTGATGAGCACCATGCTACTTTGTAACCATCAGTTATGTCTTTCTAGGTGTATCTTTGATACTGAAAGAGAGAAATTAATAACTTTCCATACAGCTTTTCATTCAAATAAATAGAAATTTCTCCACTAATCTTAAACTGGAAGTGACATTGTAAGAAATAAATCCCTATTGTTTCCTTTACATGCAGGGTCAGTGCGTATCTATGATTTCATCAGCAACAGTCAACAGAGTGAAATTAAATTTAAACAAGGAGGAACAGCATTGTCATGGGCACCTCATGTTGTAAGTTTTTATTTGCGTGTTAACAAAAATTCATAAAGGACCTACAAGTCTGCAAGCATCAAGGAAAATCCTCATGATGCAAAATATTAAAGAAGCTACTGTTCAGTTCATGCTGGAACTTACTGTATTAGTATGTATGTATAAACTTGTGTACCAGTATGTATATATACAGTGCAGAGTTTGATTTTACTGTGAGTTGTCGGGTATCCAACTCTGTGAAATTTTAAAATCAGATCTCTGTGTGTGTTCTGGGAAGTAATGTTACTTTATAGACTAACAACTTCTGTTGAATCTAAGCAGAGCAATTGGCAATTAACATAAATTAGTTAACACATGTCTAAATGACAGCCCAGAAAATCCATAAACATTTGGAGATTAATCATAAAAAATTGTTACCAGAAATATCATTTGTAGACTGTGGAGTCTATCACTTTTAGACATATTTACTAATTTTAATTAAAACAGTATCTAATTATGTTCTTAAAGTTTCACTACAAGCAGATTTATGGAGTGCTTTTGCTGAATTTTGAAGGTAAGGACAGCAGCACTGAGACAGTACACTTATGTGACTGGAATTACAGTTACACTTGCAGAAATTCTATTAGGTGATGACCGAAACATTCACTATGTCACCACAATAACTTGTACAGCATTACAGAACAAAATCAGATCAGTTTTACAAAAGTTGATACTAAACACAGACTGAAAAAGCAGGGATATTTAGTCTCCCTAGCTTCTCTTAACTCTCATTAAATACTTGCATGTAGATTAAGGTTCTTGAATGTATTTGAAAATCTGCACTTCTAATCTAAGAAAACACATAATTCACACAGTTCAGAGCATCTCTATCCCACTACATCCTCATAGACAAGCTGCCAAAATGGAAGTTAGGTAAGTGATGTAGATATTAAATTGCCTGAATTTAATGGGCCTCAGGGGGCAGTGATCAATAATCAGTATCACAACCTCCAGTTAGAGAGAAGCCTCTAGTTGTGTATTCCAGTGGTCATTACATGGACCAATACTCCTCATTAATTACCTGAATACTGGGACAGAGTGCACCTTTGGTAACTTTGCAGATGATAAATATTGAGAGGAGCGGGTGATAGGCCAGATGGTTGTGCTACCATCCAGAGGAACCTGAATGTGCTGAGGGGAATCTATGGAGTTTGGCAAAGGAAAAATACAAAGCTCTGCATCTGGGTAGGAATGCCAGAGACATCAGTACTTCCTGGGAGCCCACCAGCTGAAAAGCAGATTCACAGAGGAAGATCTTGGGATTCTGATTGATGCCAAGCTGGTCATTAGCCAGCAATGTACCATCATGGCAAAGAAGGCCAACGGCATCCTTGGCTGCATTAGGAAGGCTGTTGTTAGCTGGTCAGGGAGGTGATCATTCCTCTTTACTCAGTGCTTGTGAGACCACAACTGAAGTACTGTGTCCAGTGCTGGGCTCCCCAGAAGAGTAAAGATGCAGATTTGCTGGAGGAAGTGAAGTGCAGGGCCACAGATCTGAAAATCATGAGTGACTGACTACTTCTGATCATCTAGTGAGCAAAGTTGCCATGTACCTGCTTATTACAGAGATGATTTTTAAGATATGACGACCTAGGCTCGTTTCAAGATTAAAAAAAAAAAAAAAAGCAGTTACACTTGGCTTCCTACAATAACCTCCATAATAGTTTCATCCATAGCACTGTGCTTTTACCAGCTGCTCACCAATCTTGTCCGTTCACCCTTGTCTCCTCACACAGCAATTTTCATTTTAGTCTCATTTCTAGCATACATTAATGTTCACATTATTACAGCCTGTACATAACATTATATCTGTGATGGTGCAGTTTGCAACATAGCTGAATTTGACTCAGCTTGTAGATCACTTGAAGATGCTACTGCATATGGCTATTATCAGCTGCAAGTCCAGATAGATCCAGCTAAAACATGAGATTGTTTCTGCTAACTCTTCTCTCTCACAGTTTGTCTGTTTATAGTTTTATCAATTGTATTACCCTCAAGGCAAATTAGTTAGTCTCCATAACCTCATATTTCTGTCTCAAGTCCCTGCTGACATTTGAACTTTACATGGTCAGCCAGACACAAGTTTATGCCTGCATCTCTTCAAATATTATACCCACATTCAATGCCAAATATTATATTCAGGATAGTATAATAATTATTTTTTGAATTTCAAATCTTCTCCTTAAGAAGATTCTGATATGGATACCTATCTGTAGGAACCACCTTTTCCTCATCAGTTGCAACTATATCTTCACCAATGTTTCCAGTCTCAAAGCATGTCATCAACAAGTAAAATGAAAACAACAGACGAAAAACCCAAACCAATGAATGTATCTAACCACCCCTCACCATCACCTTTACTCAGTCCTAACCTTCCCTTTATGGTGGCTTATTAGAAAGAATAAACAAAATTTCCCTGGTCACATACATGTAAGATGAGTTACAAGTTAACAGCAGAACATGTGACATACAGATAATTATTCTAAACTCCCTGAGGTACACTGTGATTATTTTTTTTTTCTTCATTCTTCCACTCAAAGGTAAATCCTAAAGGAAGTCTAATTGCTGTGGGGTTTGAAGATGGTGTTGTCCGTATAATTGAAGTTTATGATCCCAAAGGACTTCCCACTCTTGCAGAACAGCCCAATATAAGAAATGCAGGGATAAATCTGAAACAAGCTTTTAAACCTCATACTACTGCAGTCACAGCCTTGGCATATGAACGAAATGGAGATGTCTTTGCCACAGGGGTATGTATCACTTCCTTTGTTTATTTTTATTAGGCAACAACTTCCAAGATTATTTAAAGAGTTAAGGCAAATTTTGGTCACTGACAATGCAATTATACTTCTGTTATTGCTGTTGATTGCTTCTTGTACTTCTCAGTAATGCCAGGGGAAGAGAAGGATCTGTTTGCACACATTGTTTCCTGAAGGAAAGCGATCATGCAATACATACAACTTGTTTTCGAATTACTGGATTGTTTAATGTGAATTCTGTAATCCCTTTTGAAGATGCATTTGGCTTGTTTTTGAATTAGTTTAGTAGTATCTTGCATCTAGTAAAAGTAAGTCCATTTGTACACCAGCTTGGTAGAACACCAGTAGATACCTAACACTGTTTTGCATTTCAGCAAGATCAACTGATCAGTTTTTCAGTGTGTCTGCTAGGCTTTGAAATGATTTCCAGTCAGAAAACTGGAAACAGGTAACAAGACACATCAGAGGAAAACAGGAAATCCAGACAACAGTTTGGGAACATCAGAATACAACAGGTATACCTCTGACATTGCTCAGGCTTGGGCTGAAGACCTGGGCCTAACCTTTAAGTAAGTTCCTGGAGCAGTGGGCAAAAGTTGCCTAAATTGAGGTGCCAGGAGAGGCTCATAAAGACGACTTAGGCCTACAGCTTCACTCAGCAGCCTAGAGGAAGTTGAGCAGGATTATTATTCCCCCTCACTGTAATGATGAAAATCCAATTCTGAGTTCTAAGGCACTTGCAAATCCCTTCATCTAGCCGAAGAACATCTGAAGGATGTTTCACACAGTACTTAAAATCGTTCAGATGTTTTGTCAGCTTTCAATCAGTAACAATCTTTTTTTTATTTTTATTTTTATTTTTTTCCTTTCAGAGTAAAGACAAAACAGTTTTCTTTTTTGCTGTTGAAGATGAATACAAGCCAATAGGATTCATCCATGTCCCTGGGGCTGTGCAGGCATTACAGTGGTCTCCACCTTCTCATGTGAGTAATGCATGCTTGTTTTTTCCTTTCTCTGCTATGTCAGAATGAAAACCAGTGAAGGTCCATCAATCTAGCTACGTTCTCTATACACAGTGCAAAACATGTTTTGCTGCTTTTTTTTTTACACACCTTCAGAATGAAAGATAGATTTTGTGTAACTGTACCTCTAGCTCAGTCACTTTGGATAAATGTTGGACTTTGCATAATCGACAATAGAAACACAGATAAGCTACAGAATTTTGTGCAGTATTTTGAGTACCTGCCTTGAACTAGCAAGCCTGTGCCTTTTGCCCTTATAAATACAATCATTTGCAGTTGTAGACAAAACTTCCAGAGCACATCAAGAAATTTTTTGTGTGTTTCTCTGGACTTATGCTAAGTATTCATTGTCATTCAGTGACACAAACAAGTAGATTCTTGATAGTTCTTTAGAAATGTGATGTGATTATGGTAACATGAATTTTTTGCTGGTCCAGTATTGTTATTTGGAAGAAGGATAGTTTACTACATTTAATACGAAGTGACTACCAGGAAGCATTATAATGCTTTACAATGGCAAACTTCAACTAGTATTGTTTTTTGAGAGCAGCTAAAAACTGCGCTGGGAAAAGAGCTCTTGCTAGCACGAACTTTATCTTACAGCAGAACTGACAGGTTTTGGTCAAACAGTTACATTTTGGGTCCTTTGCTTGAGAACAAGATGCTTCTTACTACCCGAAAAGTACCCATCATGTTTTTGATGTGTCACATTCCTCCAAGTGATTTTTACTACAAGTAATAGGTCTCCACTGCTAGATGTGAATGCTTATTAAACATAATTCAAGCATCAGAGTGTTTTGTTTGTTTTGGTTTTTTTTCCTCTTTAAATAAGCACCTTGGTAATTAAACACTATACATTTAATGAATGTGTTTTTAAGGATGAGATTTTATAGAAGATATGATTCCTCATTAAGGTTTCCATAGCAACTCTAATATATCCCCTGGCACATTTTTAGTGTTGGGTCAGATGGTAATCTCTCTGTTCTCCAGGTAGCTTATGAAAATTGAAACTACGTACAGACTTGCATTATAAATTCTCAAAACACTAAATAATTATTACCCTCACCTTGTCTATTCTTCCTGACCTGGCATTTTAAGAGATTCAGCATGTACTAACAATTAAAAGAAGCAAACAAACTTAAGCTAAATAGCATTTGGCAAGATTCCCAGGCCAGTCTTGAAGGTATTAAGGGATTTAAAATCATAGAAGCATACAAATTTTCAAGCATTTATCAAAACAAAAACTCAGCTCCTAACTTCTGGGCCAGATTTATCTTTAAATTTACCAGACTCCCAATATATTATGATTCTTCCTAGCTGATGGTGTTCAGTATAATAGCAGTTTTGTATAAGGCAAGGTCTTTTTCAGTTCCTTAGCTTTTTCTGGGATACGTATGTGCAGGTCACTACAAAATACCATGTCCTATTTATTTCTATGGAAAGTGTAACAGATACAAAGAGCACAGTAACACTACTTGATAGAGCAAATTTTCAGCTATAAAACGCTCTTTTTCAAGATGATCACTGCCATTAGCCATTTCACCAGTTATGAACAAGAGGAAAAAACTACACTAGCAGAAGCAACCCAGTGTTTCATAGCCTCTATGACAGCATTGTTGATAGGAAAATGTTGCCTATGCAATCCATCTGTCATTGACCCAAACAGATGAAAGTCAGAAGGTGCCGAATCCAGACTATGTGGTGGGTGTGGTAGGACAGTCCAAGCAAGGCTGGCAAATGTGCTCCATGGTTTTCAATCTTGTATGATGCCTGAAGTTAATGTGTTTCCGGAGAAAGAATGTCTTCTTCTGTAGCCTGACTCTGGAAGTTCAAGCCTTCAGTTTAGTCAGCATCAGAATGAAGTGGTCAGAGTTCATGGTTTGTCTGGGTTCCAGGAAATGCACGAGGATGACCCCTTTGCTATCCCAAAAGAGAGTGCAAATGACTTTATCAGCTGAAGGCTGCATCTTGGACTTTTTCTTTGATGGGGAATTCACATCACCATTCCATGGACTTCCATTTTGACTCCACCTCATAGTGGTGACACCACGTTATCACTGATAATCATGCAGTGTAGGAAATTGTCACCTTCAGCTTCACATTGGTTCAGCAGGTCCTAACAAGCTTGCATATAAGTCTGTTGCAGTGTGAACATTTGTGGGACCCATCTCAAACTTTGTGATGTTGCTACCCCTGTTCCCAACATACTGAAGCTGATCTTCAGCTCTGTACACAGTTCCCTGATTGTAATCCTCTGATTCTCATAAATGAGTTAATCAAAATGCTCTTCATTTCATGATGTGACAGCTGTGCATGGCCATCCAGAACATGGCTCATCTTTCATGTTGATGTCACCAATGCTAAAATGCACTATTCATTGCCTCACTGTACTCTCATTCACTGTTTGGTCTCCATAAATGTTCAGCAAGTGTCAATGAATGCCAATGGATCCCATTTTTTCCTTCTGTAGGTAATCAGTTCCACACCTTTGCTTTATCCACACTTCCATGTCAGACACCACAGCAACAAAATGTAAGGGAATATTGGTGGGAAGGTTCCACCTCTATTGCCATACCACCAACAGCCACCTCTGACATCATGGGCCAACATAATAAGATAGGAGGTATTGCTTTCAGAACAGCCCTTGTATAAGAGAAGTTCGCTGCTTTCTGGTGTCCATATAAGAGTATCCAATCAAATAACAATACAGTTAAGAGCTAATGTCTCCTGACTGGAGTTTGATTTTGAGAAGGTTCATCTACTTTACTGACTTTTTCCCATTTCTCTCAATTCCATTTATACACCTGCCCCACACTTGTATTTTTTGTGTTTTTGTGTAGGTGGAGAGCATGCTTCTCATCCTTTGTGAGAATGGATATGTTCTCCAGGTTCCTGCCCCTCTCCCTGAGAAACAGGAAACAGCATCCACCTACCATATCAAAAACCTGCCAACACAGTACTTTCATTTTTATAGCATTAAATCCCGAATCAAGGTAAAGAAGTCTCCTTTGGAAAAATCCCATATTTATGTTCGGAAGACAAAGCTTCCTCCTGGAGTTTCTACTCTCTGTATGTGTCTAAGAAAAGACTGAATGTATTGTGTGCTGAGTTTTTTTTTGCAGTTTTGTTTGTTTTAGTCAAAAGAGGACAATATAAATATAAATTTATACACATGTATAAGACATAGTAAGTCTTAGGAAAATAGAAAACGTTGTCATCTCATTCCTCTGGGAGAATAGGTCAATAATTAATAAGTTGCAACAAGAATGTTTTAGGAAAGATGCAACAGTTAGGAAGGTGAAACACCAAAATAGTTTACGTAGACCATGGAATCACCATAGTAGGAGATCTATAAAGTGTAGATCGGAGAACATCAACACATAATACATTAGGTTCAACTTACACTGCTCTGGGACAAAAGAACAATCTTTTGAGACCCTTTCTAGGCATTTCTTTGTGACTTTCTATCAAATATTTTCTTAGGAAAAACCTGTTCTAGACAATTTTTTGGCTATTTGTTTTTGCTGAAGGTGGCTTGAATGGAAAGATTTTATGTGTCCTTCCTTTAGTTTTAAGAAGTCAAGTCCATTACAGTTTCTCTCTTTTACTGTATGTACATCAGTGACATCTTAGAACCTGAACTTCAACTTAGAATCTGACTAGAATCAGCTTTCCAGGCACATTTTTCCTTTTCCCAGGAAGATTTCTGCATAAGAAGTATACTAACAGTGGTTAATATTGGAAATAATCTCTTTGAGGAAATGATGAAGTCTGCTTCTTATGCAGAATGGCTTCTGTTTTCAAGGACCTGATTAAAACACTGTGGAGGGGGGAAATGGGCACTTCCCATGAGGTTTGGTTGATTAGTTGAAGGAAAAGATATTTCTCTTTCTGTGTATGTAATGCCAGAACCACCTTGAATTTTCTTTATGAGACTACTTCAGTCAGGAATTCATGAATTGCGTTGGTTTCACCTCTCTGTGTTTCACTGCTTGTTGTAACAGCTGGAAGAGGAGATTGCACTGAGGGAGAGAAAAAAGCAAGAGAAGGAAAAAGCAAAACTCGAACGGATAAGGCAGCTACAGGAGATGGGAAAGGAGGTGGAAGAAGAAGAACCCGAAGAAGAAGAAGAGCCATTGCCGTCAATCTACATACCAGAGGAGCCCAGCCCCATTCTCTGTGGGTTTTATTCAGCACCTGGGAAATTTTGGCTTTCCTTGGTAAATCCTTTTTTCTTTTTCTTTTTCTTTTTTTTTTTAAGTTGCTTGGATTGCAAGATATGGCAACATTCCACTCTCATCTGATTGTCTTCAGAAATCCATTATTTGAAACCTGCAGTCTCTGGAATACAGAATTCCCATCACAGTTGATGGTTTCAATGATCTTTTTGAAGTAAACCAGTAGTGTTAGTCCAATTCAGAAATTTTTCAGCTAGTGTTGTTCATGACATCTGAACAGACAAAAAGACTAACCTGCTCCGTTTCTAGTAGGAAGTAGAATTTTAACATATTGATTCTACTGGCTGGATTGTAATGCCAATCATATTTATAGATTTTCTCTGTGAGTATCTAGGTTCTCTAGATGTGTTTTTTAAGCTATCCTTAGGACAGAAAAATATTATACAGAAAATTGCATCCAGCTGTTTCAGTGTTCTTTTGTTACCATTTCTTTATGTTTTTTTCAATTCAGGGCGGATATGACTCAGGTTTCCTTTATCACTGTGCATTCTCCTCAAATGAGCACCAAGAAGACCCTGAAAACAGGCAAGATGAACCTTTTGAAGTGATTCCTATTGAGGACACTGATGACAACCCCATCCACCAGATCTCCTTCTGGTAAAACAGTTTAGTGTAGAAGATAACTTTGTTATTAAGCTTGATGAAACTGAACTTGAAAAGGAGCAGAGTACACCTCTTGGTCCCTTTTAAACTGTGGGTCAATTCAAGTGTACAGGAACTCTTCCTAGTTCTTCTGGTGCCAGTTTTCACTTAATACTTACTGGAGAACCATTAGAAGCCTCTGCAACCCTTCTAGTTGGATTGTAGATCACCATTGGTTCTCTTCACTGGTTAGCAGTGAAAGGACACGGTTAGCTCTCAAGGAGAATATTGAGGGATCAGTCCATCTCCTTTGTCCAACAAATGTAGACTTCTCAGGATATTCTGTGAATAGTACGAATGAAAAGGGTGAGCTGTTTTCAGAATCCCAGTGTCAGGGTTCCCTGTAAGGCTAAATATGATCTACATCTTAGGAGGCAGGTTTAGTTCAGACTTCAATCCACAGCTGTCTGCATTCTACTTGGCCGCCATCTGCACTAGATGGAGATTGGGAAGGAAAACTGATTCTCTGACTCTGCACTAGCTATTTGCTACATTGCCCAATTTAGGGCTGAGACTAGTTCCGTGATACCCAGCAGATGCTAGAACATTACTAGAAGCCAGCTGACTTGTAAAAAAGTATGTAGTAATACCACACATACTTTAAATTGTTCAAATACCTTGCTGCCTGCTTATGAACTTGGGAAGGGTCTGTTTATTCAGCTACATTATCTGTTCTTTAGAAGTACTGTGCTTACTTGTTGCAAGTTACATTGTATTATTGTTTCTGGTTTCTTATTTGACAGTACCAGCAGACTACTGATGTTCTGTGGGATGCAGAATGGTGCCCTACGTGTTTATCCTCTCCAAGATAAAGACCTCTCAGCGAACACCCTGAAGGCATACTGGTCGTTCAGTGTACATGACAATGATTATGGCCAGATCCGGGGGATCTGCTGTAGTTATGATGATAGGTTTCTGATTACCTGTGGAGGAGATGGGAACATTTTTACCTTCAACATCTTGTCTCCAGAGGATGTTCATGAAGAGTTAAAAGCCCAAATCCCTCCTCCTAGGGTAAGTCACTAAATGAAAATCCCCCAAACTCTCGTTTTTATTGTATGGATTGTTGCATCTCTGGTTCCAGAACAATTTTGATTACATGCCTTGCTAACTTATTTCAGTGAATTAGGCCTATGAAGCTACTGCAAATGGCTATAATCCAGTTCAATAATTTGGCATCATAGATCTTTCATAGCAAAAGCTAAGATTTCCCAAACAATTTAGAAGAAGAGTTCTTGCAAAGCCTTTCCTAGTAAAAAGGCAATATGACTGCATTGCTCCTTCTCAATCTTTCATGTTTTTCTCCCAGTACACATAGTGTGTACTGACTTGAAGATGTAATCACAGACATATCTAGCATGAAAAAAAAAACACAAGGATATGGCATACTTAATGTCTCTCTTGGATTTTATTCCAGTAGAGTATGATTCTGCTTTGTATGGAGATTCCAAAATTAGTACTGGAAAATTCCAATTGTATAGTTTCTCAATGCCTTCGGTGCCATTAATATACAATAATACAAGATGGGAGATGACACCGGAACTTGATAACAAGTATTCTACTGATAATATGCAAAAAGAGAGACATATCAGCAACCACACATTTAAAAAATTTCTTGAATGCTTGAATGAAACAAAACTAACTTGAAAGAAGCAATTAAAACTTTGGAGTAAGGAAGTGCTATCATATGCAATTAATTTTGTAATGATTATGCATTCAGTATACATTAAAATATAAGTATCAACATAAATCAAATTTTAAAATATTTTTAATATTAGTCAGTAACTACTTTTTGAAAGATCTTTAGCAAGGAGACAGAGAGGAAATTGGGCTTTTAGTTATTTGGGTTATATTGTTCATGCTAGGGGAAATTCTTGACCTGTATTAGAAGAATATTTAGCACTGAAAATAGACTAAAAATTATTTTCTTAAACAAAGCAAATGATTGTAACCTGTGGTATCAGAGCCTTATTAGCCCCCATTTTACAAGTAGTAATTAATATGCAATTATATTGCAGATATATAGTTTTAGCATTCCAAATATATGAATAGCTCTATATAAAGATCTTTATGGTTAATTGCTATTGTGCAGGCTGGCAGTGTTGCTTAATGACCATCCTAATAGGGAAGTTTATCTTCATTAAGTATCTATTCGAGTTTTAAATCATGTGGAAGATTTTTTAAATTCCATCATAATTAAACTTAATGAGATTCCTAGAGAATCAAATATAAGTCCTCTGAAACTAATCAAGTTAAATTACAGATCAATTTAGTACCACTGTATTCACTATGATAGGCCATGATTTCCTAAGGAAATGCAGTTTGTATGACTGCAGTGTCCATCCATCAATCCTAGCAGCTAACAATTGGGAACCCATTGCACAATCAGCAGAAGCAAACCAGATGAATTGCACTTGTAACTTGGAATTAGCCTGGGATAGGGTGTGTCTTGTCAGCCTGGCAGTTAGTGGGGACAGGAGAATTATATGTAATTGCGGGGCCTGTGCAGTGAAGAACCAAAAGTTATGGGACAGTGAATCCAGGACAAGCAGTGATGTAGGGGTTAATGTTGACGGGAAGAATATAGGACTTCTGTCCCAAAGAACTCAGCTTCATTTGTTCTTTTGCATGTAAACTAACTTAAAATTATTTCTTGTTCTTGAAATGATACAACCTTTTACCTAAGACCAGTATAGCAGCATTGATCATGAGGTCTTCTTGTGATTTTGTGAGGAAAAAATGGGAATTCTATCTTAATCTTTGTAAAAGCTTTATTGTCTGTTAAAACTATTATTGTTTGTTTAAAGGTGAGACATTTGTATTTCAGATGGGTCTACTGAAGGAGAAGGCTGCTGAAGACATTGAGGATCCCAGTGCTTGCAAGTAAGAGATGCTTGAATAATGTTGGAAGAGATTTCCAAGCATTAGCAGCTCTTCCGTCAGACTATATTTCTCTTTTTCACTGTGAAGAGAAGGGAGGAGTTGATCACTCTCAGTTTGGGTCATTTCCTCATTACACACAAATTTTTTTCAGGCTTGCCTCCATTTCTTCTACTTTTCTGTGGAAATAATTCAAATTTATCACTCTGAGACTTCTGTAACTTCAGATAACACAGGGTCAAAGCCAAAGCGCTAAGATGTTAAAACAATGTGAGAATACAGTAAGTTGGCTTCTTTCTAAGTTACCTTCAGAGACGTTGAGTCCCCTTGAAGTTTAAGGCTGTCAAGGAAATCTAAAAGGTTACATAAATTGTAATCTTTCCTCTATTCATTGTGATAATACCATTTCCTTCTTGCATTTTCAGCATTGAGGAAGTCAAGCAGAAAAAGGAGTATGAACGGATCATGAAAGAAGCTGAAGACAAGAAAAGCAAGAAAAGAGAGGAGTTAATAGCACTAAGACAGGAGTTTCTTTTTCTGCTTCAAAAGAATCAGGAGTTACCAAAGCACATGCAACTGCAAAGAGAGGTTTGTTTGCTTTTCATAAGTCATCTGCTATTAGGGAAACTCTCTAAAATGTTGATGCCTAATATGTTGGGGTCAAAGATGTCCAGTGCTATGGGCTAGTATACTCAATTACATAATTTGCCAGGACTCACGACTGATGATTTGTGCCATTTAAGAAGTGTGCGTGGGGAAAAAAATGTGGTTTTCTGTGGAGATCTGAATAGCTCTTGAAATAAAGGATTGTGTTAATGTTCATGAAACTCTTGACATCGGGGCAAAAATATTTGTTAGCAAAACCCAACTGTCAGGATAATGTGATGCTGGCTTTTCTGTGTTTCTACAGCAGTATGAGATAGACCGTAGGGTCTTCGAGGAGCTGAATAGGCAGACTGCACAAAGAATCCAATTAGTGGAAAAGGAACTAGCTTGGGAGCATGAGAAACACTTGATTGGACTGCAGAAATTACAGAATTGGTAAGTACTGCTTTTTTCTACCTCTCCTGTTGTCCTTACCATGGGGCTTACTTTTGCACAAAGTAGAATTTAGGTGTTGTTTTTTTTTCCCCTTACGGAGTCAAAATTTTTTTCTTCTATTAATGATTCAGTCCTTATTTGACTTGAAAAATACACAAGAGTATATACTGATATTTGGATGTGCTTCCTTCTTTTGAATCCCTGATCAAAATTCAGATATGCAAATCGAGGAAGTGTCTTAATTCCAATTTATCTCTATATCAAGAAAAACAGTCTTTTTTGGGGAGAGGCAATAAGTGTGCTTGGGATTTTGCCAGTAAGGTGAGTAAGAATCCGGAACTCTTATTGGAACTATGAAGAGCAACCTATGAAATTAACCCGTTTTTGAGGTATGCTGCATGTCTGTCAGTGTCACTGCTACAAAAATGTTCTCTATACACCTTAAAGTTATAACATGAGCTTCCTCAAGAACACAACTTTAAGTGCAAGATTCATTTTTGGTCTATCTTCCTATAGCAAAAAATGAATTCATAACAATAAATCCACAATAGAAATAATGCACAGTGACAAAGATACCTTAGTCACACTTAGTGTACGACTGCATAAGAGGCGAATGAATATATATTTATTTTTAACCACCCTTTAATGAAAGATGACAGGTACTCTCATGAAGAACCTGTTTTTTTCTTGGTTTTGATCTTGGGAACAGTGTTAATGTATTTATTCTTGAGCATCTCTATTCCTAGATTGGATAAAAGTCAATAGATGATGTCGTATGTCATCATGCTGTTACTTAGTGACTATATTGATGTGTATTTATATGTAATGATTGTATATGTACTAAGTAAATTGCATTGCTCAGGTCCTTTTCGTGAAGGAAAAATGGTAGGTTGCACCTACTGGCATCAGACAATTTTGTCTACTTTGACTTTTTAGGTTTCGAGGCTCACTGGAATTTGATACTGTTGTTGTTCGTGCTATTCAAAGCCATCATCAGATTTCCACCTATAGACTTGTAGCAGTCTCTGAGGAGTACTACCAAGATAAGGAACGTCCATCTTGGAGGAAGACAGTACTTAAACGGGCATGGAAAAAAGAGGAAAAAAAGGAGACCATCAGAGATAGAAAGTGTAAGCACAGGGCTAATTATGACCTTTTGCAGATTAACAGTAGTAAGTTTTTGTCTTTCTGTTCATTTTCCTGAGTCCAGGCTAAAGAAATGATAATTTCTCTAGGTACAGATAAAGAAATATAACTGCAGTGTGGTTTTTAGTACCTGCATACATACAGTGCTTTCTACATTTAAGTCAATGTCAGCAATCAGTTATCAACCCAGTGGGAAGAACTTGACTAAGAGTCATCTCAGAGAGCTTGAATGTGTTCAGAACATCCTCTGCAGTGGAACTATCTTGATCAACACCAGCTTAACAGGAGCATTCCCAGGAGATTCCTGATAGTGTAGATTATACTGTGTTGCACGATATTTACATCTTCACGAGATTATTTTTTGTTTCAAAAGCTATCATTGTCAAGGGGGAAGCTGATCAACTGATGTCAAAGGTCCAAAAGCCAACAACACGTTTTATAGAAATGAAACGTGAGCAAATCAGAAGAATTGTTGAGAAATCTGACAAGGAGAAAGCTAAGATAATGAAGAGGAAGGAAGAGTGGGAAAAACTGTGAGTCTTTAATTGGACTCTGAGTCCTTTTAGTTCTGCGTCTTGTCAGGTGTTCTTTGTTTAGCTGTCATACAGCACTATCATATCTCTGCCCAGTTTCCTATGTTCCTGATGGATGTAATTAAAATATATGAGCCTTTTTATACCTCAGAGTGTCAAGAGACAATTAAAACCTTTCAGTTATTTTCCATGGTTCTTCTAAAACATTTTAAAAAATGAGTTCAGCTAGGTAAATGCATCTTCAGATAGGGCTTAAAAGGTCTAAATCAATCATGATCTGGTGAAATGTGAACCATGCATTAGTCAGCCTCCTCAGTTAACCCTTCTCTCACTGTATATACCACACGCTGCAACAGCTGTGGGTTAAATTAGTTGCACTTCAAGACTGCTAGCAGAAAATGGAACCAGTATAAAGTCCAAAACCAGAGCAAAAGCTTTTAAGGTTACTGAAGATTTGATAACATAGGATCAGACATTTTGTGCTGCACACTGACAGACTTTAAGATAGAAAACATACAGATGTACAAAACAGGGCCATTTTGTACCTTCTGTCTTGAAGTTCAGCTTTGCTTTGTACCTACCAGATATGAAAGCAAGCCTGGTGATGACTATGAGGATCCCAGAGATGTTCAGGCCATCAAAGAAGCACAGGAAAATATGGGGTGTTACAAGCTGAAAACTGCCAGGGATTACAGAGTGCCTGAGGACAAGTGTATGAACACTGAAAAGAGGACGATGCAGCTTGCATCCCTGGAAGTGCTGGTATGTGAACTGTTTCACAAATGTGGGTATTTGGGTATTTTTCTCTTTTCACAGGAGGGAGGATAATTTAGTAGTCACTGAATCAATCCAGGATAACGCTCAGCTTCTTTTAAGCAAAGAAGTTACCCTTTCAGCTATTTCAGAAGGAACATGTATTCTTTAATTCTTAAAGTCTCACTATCTAGCGACCGATATGCTTTCCTTACAACATGAACTAAATAATCCCTATCATGAAATGTTTTTACAAAACAGGGATGTGAGCAGGAGCAGGTCTTTTTAGCATAATGTCTTCATGTTGCACTTAAACAATCAATCACTGCTTCTAAATAAGAACTAAGTATTGGAATCTTCCTAGGAAATGGTGTTTTGGAGCCACCTTCCTGTATCAGGATTCCTACAGCTAATTAATGTCTTTTAACCACAAAGGCCCAGTACCTCAGATGTTTACAGTATCACTATTACTTTTCTTGTGACTTCTACTGCCCCCTTCTACTCACAAGAACTGTTTTACATTGTACTGTGGTGACAATGTTACTGGATATCATAGAATCATAGAATGGCTTAGGTTGATAAAGGAACACAATGATCATCTAATTTCAACTCCCCTGCTGTGTGCAGGGTCTCCATCCATGAGACCAGGCTGCCCAGAGCCACATCCAGCCTGGCCTTGAATGCTTCTAGGGATGGGGCATCCACAGCCTCCTTGGGCAACCTGTTCCAGTGTTTCAGCACCCTCTGAGTGAAAAACTTTCTCCTAATATTTAACCTAATCCTCCCCTGTCTTAGTTTTAAACCATTCCCCCTTGTCCTATCAGTATACACCCATGTAATCAGCCGTACCCCCTCCTGTTTATACACTCACTTCAGTATTGGAAGGCCACAATGAGGTCTCCCTGGAGCCTTCTTCTCCAAGCTAAACAAGCCCAGCTCCTTCAACCTTTCCTTATAGGAGAGGTGCTCCAACCCTCTGATCATCTCAGTGGCTCTCCTCTGGACCTGTTCCAAGAGCTTCACGTCTTTCTTGTGCTGGAGCCTCCACGCCTGGATGCAGTATCCAGGTGGGGCCTCACAAGAGCTGAGTGGAGGAGGAGAATCACCTCCTTCTCCCTGCTGGCCACCCCTTTCTTAATGCAGCCCAGACACAGTTGGCCTTATGGGCTGCAAGTGACACTGCTGGCTCGTCCTGCTTCTTGTCTATGAGGACCCCCAAGTCCTCCTCTGCAGGACTGCTTTCAAGGAGATCTTCTCCCAGTCTGTATAAATACCTGGGATTTCCCTGGCCCAAATGCAGCACCTTGCACTTGGCCTTAGGTTTTCATGGGCCCACTTCTCCAGCCTCTCCAGGACCCCCTGGATGGCTTCACTTCCCCTCAGCTTGGTGCCATCTGTGACCTTGCAGAGGGTGCACTCGATGCCATCATCTATGTCACTGAGGAACATGTTGAAGAGCACTGGTCCCAAGAGTGACCTCTGAGGGATAGTACTTGTGACTAGCCTCCTCCCAGACATGGAACCATTGATCACAACACTTTGTCTGCATCCAGCCAACCAATTCTTAATCCACCAAACAGTCCATCCTTCATATCCATCCCTCTCCAATTTAGAGAGAAGGATGTGGTGAGGGACCATGTCAAAGGCTTTGCAGAAGTCCAGAAAGATGACATCCGTTGCCCTTCCGCCATCCACCAAAGCCATCACTCCATCATAGAAGGCCACCAGATTGGTCAGGCAAGATCTGTTAGCAGCCACATCAGCTATCTCTCTTAGAACTCTGGGATGGATATCATCTGGCTGCATCTGGACTTATATACATTCAGTTTCATGAGGAGGGCTTGGACTTGTTCGACTGTTACAGTGGGACGGAAATCCACTCCTCACACCCTCACCTAGAGGTTCAGGGTCCTGGCAGATATGGGAAACCTGACCACCTGTGAAGACTGAGGCAAAGCACTCATTGAGTACTTCAGCTTTTTCTGTGACTGAGGAAGCCAGCTCTCCACTGCCTTTTATCAGAGGGAGAATACTCTCCTTGGCCTGCCTCCTCCTGCTTACGTACCTGTAGAACCCCTTGTTATTTTTCACATCCCACGCCAAGTTCAGTTCTGTCTGTGCTTTGGCTTTCCTAATCCTGTCTCTACACACACGGACAAAAGCCCTGTATTCCTCCTAGGCTACAAAACCCTGTTTCCACTTCCTGTACATTTCCTTCTTTTCCATTAAGCTGCAGGTCCTAGCTCAGTGTAAAATCAATGGAAATCAAGATGTTACAATCACAATATAATCAAGAGAGTTAGGGAAAGTGGACAATGATAACAAAAGAGAATAAAATGGAAGGCTTACCCTTCGGCTGGGCTCACCATGAAACACCAATAGAGGCAATCTCCAGAAGAGATCCTTCCCCACTGGTAGCCAGCTCTTAAATAGGTCTAGGAGCAGCACAGCCTTCACCTGCCTTCACCTGTGCTCCTCTGGCTGGCTCATGGCTCGCCTCAGGTGATCAATCAGAGGTTCAGGCCGTGACTCAGTAGTTCCCATACACTCAGGCATGCTGTTCACCTGCCTCTCCTGCTCAACTTCTGCTGAGGGATGGAGAACTGTTGCATTCTCAGAACGGTGTCCATAAAGAGCTGCCAGTTCTGTTCTATACACATGTCCTTAAGGACAGTTTCCCAAGGGGATCCCATCCAGTGATTCCTTGATTAGCCAGAAGTTTGCTATCCTGAAACTCAGGCCTGCATTCTTCAAGATCACAAAGTCCACGAGGCCATGGTCACTACAGCCCAGGCTGCCTTCAATTTTCTTTCCTAATGCTTTTCCAATTCTCTCCTTTGTGCTTGTGAGCACCAGATCCAGTAGGGCTTCATTTCAGGTCGGTCCATCCAATACCTGGACGAGGAAGTTACCCTCAACAGATTCCAGGAATCTCCTGGATTGTCTGCCACCCTCCATGCTGCTATCCCAGCAGATATTCAGGTGGTTGAAATCCCCCATCAGGACAAGAGCCTGGGAGCGCAACACTTCCTGCAGCTGAAGCAAGAAAGCCTCGTCAATAGATTCCCCTGACCAGGTGGCCTGTAGCAGACCCCAACTACTAGATGCCCTTTACTGAACCTATCCTCAATTTTAACCTACAAGCTCTCAACCTGATTATGGCTGTTTCTCAGACACGGCTCTTTGCAATCTATCCACTTCCTAACATAGAAGGCAACTTCCCCGCACCTCCTATCCTGTCTCCCTTCTGAAAATCCTGTAGCTTTCAATCAGAGTATTCCAATTGTGGGATTCATCCCACTGTGTTTCCATGATAGCCATTAGGTCATACTTTCTCAATTGCACCACGGTTTCTAGCTCCTCCTGTTTATTTCCCAGCTGTGTACATTGGTATAGAGGCACTTCAGTTTGGCTGTTGGCCTCACTGAGTTCTCAGAGAAGCTTTCCCTAATACCTCCAGGACAAGTCTGGGTGGTTAACTCAGTAGCACTAGCCAATGCAAGTAAAAATGAATAGTCCTAGTTATAAATCTAAGGTTTATATAGATGAAGAATTCTAGTTACTTCAGATGATTGCTGTATAAGATTGTTGTTTATTATAAAAATTAGAGAAGTTTCTGCCATGTGTATTAATGTTAAATCTCATTCTATTATTATTTCATATGAAAAGAGAAAATCAGTGCAGTGTCTCTTTATCACAGTGGAGTCACAGAATGGTTAAAGTTGGAATGGAACACATTTCACCAGTTAAAGTTCCTTCCAACTTTAGAGGATGACCTCTGAAGGTCATCCAATGCAACCCACGTGCTCAAGCAGGGACACCCAGAACAGGCTGCCCAGAATCATGTCGGAGTGGCTTTTGAAGATCTCCAAGGATGGGTGTCCACCATTTCTCCCAGTTTTATATTTTCAGCAAACTTGCTGAGGGAACACTGCCCAATCATCCAGATCACTGATGATGCTTAATGTAGTTATTATTACTGGATTCTGAATATAGAATTATTGAGGTACTGTCTGCAGGTGAAGCAGGACGCAAACAAACTGTAACCAGTTTTGCTGCACTTGGCTGTTTAATTCACAACTCTGACATGTAAGTGTCACTTCTCACATTAGTGGATCTTCATCTTGAGTTGGGGAAGATTATTCAGCTAATGGCAAAGTTTTCTGAATTGACTTTGGTAATCTGGATTACTGTAAAGTCTGGATAGGATTTGTTTTGAATTCATATTGGCTTTTTATTAAATTCAGAAGCATATTGTCTTTAATTTTGCTACCTACTCTACTTTGAAAATTCAGAACTTCGCTGCAGTCAATTAAGAAAGAAATGGTTGGCATTTTGACATCACTTTCACATATTGATAGGATTACATCTATATTCTAGAACCTATGTTCATGAAGGACTACTTCAGTGTTCTTCATAAATGTTACGGAGTTATATAAGAAAACTGCATTGTTGTAAGGATGATGTCAGAAGTCTAGATTTCTGTACAGTAGTGTTAGTGTTACAGTAAAGATCTTAAATACAGTTCCTTTGTCTCTATACAATTTGTACAACATGTAAAGAGAGTCATGTATCGAAGCTGAGATACTCTCTGTATTTAATGAGAGACAGCCCCAATTACTAATCTTCTAACACCCACAACTGATCTACACAGTCTCTGACTGCTTTCTGAGCTACTTCAACATCTCATGTCAGAGAAATTCATGATCAAGTCATGGGAGACAGGGGAAGCCTTTTTTTGTGCTCCTTTGCCTTTTCTGTTGAAGAGTTAGAGAGATGGTTTTGAAGATCTTAAACCAGAGATTTTTCAAAATGCTTTTTTAGAAACACTAATTCGTGAGATGTTATGGAAAAGAAAGCTAGTATGGAAAGAGGGAAAGTCGTATGACAAGCCTCTTCCCTACTACTTGTGTTGGGGAAGACCGCGTGTCACTGGGGAAATCCTATTAAAATTGTTTTTCCTTTGCAGATCTATAAGAAGAAGGTGAATATGAACAAACAGATTATGTCTCTGAGGGACTTTAAGGTTTCTATTATTGAAGAAATCAAGTGTTTATTGCAAGAATTGAAATCCGTGCAGGCAGCATTAGATTTATCAGAACGTCTCCCTCTTCCCCTGATTCCTCAATTACACCCAGATGAAGTTCCAGAAAAAAGATTTGAGTACGACCATGACATCCTACTGAAATTCAGAGAGAAGCAGGCAGCCAAGGCAACGCTTCAAGAACAATTGGAAGAGTCTCCCTCATCTGGTGCATTTAGGAATAGTTTTAAATCTTCCCATAAGGAAACTGGCTCTCTACAACAGACTGCAAGCTCACCCACGATGAAAAGATCGTCATCTATGGTCACAGAGCAGCAAAAGATTTTTGTAATTGAGAAAGCAGAGCCAACAGAAATAGAACAGGAAATTTTAAAGAAGGAGAAGATAAAAAACCTATACTTGCAGAAGACCTTAATTAATAAGGTAGGAATTTTTTTTCTTTTTTCACTTTGAACATTCTCACTAAGAAATAAAACCCTTTCCTTCTTTTTTCAGAACTGCAGCTACACTGTTTATCAGAACTTCTGGAAAATGCTATCTAGTGTAAATCAGTATAAACTTGTAGCAGCAACCTCTGTTATCACTTGAAAAACAGGTCTTAGTTCTGTGAAATTCTGAACTCAGCGGCCAGAAAAAAAAAAAAAAGAAAGAATAAAAAAAGTAAAATGTAAGAAATTATTTCAAAAGCGATGAATAGAAAAAGTGTAGTATCACTGCAACTTCATGGATTCATGAAGTTCTTAGCTGTTCAGAAATATGAGTAGCATTGACCCTCTGGTTTCAAAAATGGTTTTAAGCCTACAAGGGTCACAGAAAGCTTCCTTAAAAGGCACATCTATGTGCAGAACGCATAGCGTGATTAAGCTAACTTGACGGAGAGAAATTTTCCCTAATGATACTTTCTGTAGCTTTATATGTTTAGCTCCAATCCTAACACCTTCCCTGTTGCTCATTTGCTTCTCTTATGCTCCAGATAAATGCACTGGTAACCAACTTTGATGCTGAACTGCGCTTTCTGCGGCACAAGAAACTGCAGCTAGATGTGCAGATGAAATATGCTGACTTGAGATACATCACTTGGTTTGAAGAGCTGCTTATCCTGAAGAATGCTGAGAAAAATGAGAACATTCTCCAGGGGCATGTTAACACCCTCCAGAGTGAGCAGGAGGCCATGCAAGTACGTAGATTATGTGTCTTTGCAATTAACAGTACTGATAATGAGTGGCCTAAGCCGAAAGGAAGATGTAAAATAAATGGGAACTTTTCTTTGCTTCCTTTTTGCACTGGTCCAGCATCCAGTGCTAAATTCTGGAAAACAAGAAACTCAGTCATCAACCATGATGGTAGTTTCAGACTTCGAATCGTTAATCTTTTCACAGTCTTCATGATGTGGAATCAGTGACAAGCCATATTCTTTAAGAAGGTTCTTCTAAGTTTTGATTGACTGGAGCATGGGTTCAAAGAGTGATAGTCAAGTGTAGCATCTCCAGGTCTTCACTGATATGTGCTATCTACACTAAAGTTAAAAGTTTGTGCCTTTTGACTAAAGAGGGTTTTTTTGTTGTTTAGTCAAAACTGAACAGCTGCCTTGCACAGATGGAGGATAAAAAGTCTGAGATTGTAAAACTTCAGGAATGTAAGAAAGCTGTTTATGCCAGCTTCCAGGCATCCCTTGGAGAAAACAATGAATTTGCCCACTTTCTGACCAAGGTTCTGAGGAGAAAATTCAGCTCCATGAGAAAAAAAGTAGAAAGAGAAGCAGGTTAGAGATAACTGTTCTTGTCTTTTGGATTGTTCACACATACTTCCATGTAGTAAAATAAATGTGCCTCAGTCTATCTGGAGCCCTGGGTGCATGCAATGCTAAACACAGTTCAAAACACCAAATAGATTAGACCTACCCAAGTTCTGCTTTTTTGTACCAATCCATGTTCTGTGAGCCATCCTGAATTATGACAATAGTAATTTAGTCTCTAACATGATTACATTTGGTCTGATCACAGCTCCTAGAATGTACTTGCTATAAGTCAATATGTCAATACTGAGGATTGGTAATTAGTATGAAGAAGAGGCAAAGCTTTAAATAGCTACTTCCTATGCTGAACCAATTGGAGCTAAAGAAAAATGATTAATCTGCCACATTCATGACATTCTTCTTTAATCTGCCTATTGATTAATGAGAGATCATAGACCTAATCTGCAATAATCTATTAGTCACATGACTAAACAAATTATGAAAGGATTTAATTTATCTCAGGTTTTAATCTGTAAAGGCCTAAGCAGTCTAACTGAGCTAGAATGCCTTGGCTTTTGCTTTCACCTGAGACATGGCTACCAAAAAGCACAGACAACAGTCATGTTTTTGTGACAGTTTCGTGCTTCTTTGTATTTTGCTTGGTTGTTTAATCTCTATAGTGTCTCACAATGATAAACCTACAAGGTTTTTTTTTTTTTAAATTCCAAATACTTAATACACATACAGAGAGGAAAAATCATAGAAGAAAGTCCCCAGAATATACCTACGTTAGTGCATTTGGCACGACAAGGTGAGGCACTACAGGGTGCTCTCTCTCCCACACTTTTTTTTTTTATTTCTGTGAAATTATCAAATCAGTGCCATAGGGGAAAGGTGCCTGAATCTGTGTATTGCTGAGTGATCTTGTGTGGGTTGCTGGGGATGTGTTCACTAGCACATTCACATAATGCACAGCTAGTGGATTTGTGGGCTATCCTACAAGTCTGCCATACTGTCATTTTCTTCCAGATGAAAAAGATGAGAGTGAAGACGAGAGCGATGAAGAGTCCAGCCTGGAGAGTGATGAAGAAGATGCTGGATCTGAAGATGAAATTTTTGACATCTCTGTTTGCCCAGAGAGTAGCTAAGCCATCATTTCCTTGGGTTGACTACTTGATCAGCTTTAGAGCAGTGCTGTGCTTTTAAAAAGGAATTTTTTCATTATTCTCTTCACATCGATGCCAAAAAGAGCCAGAATGTGTGCACTCCTGGCTGCACCATTTCTCCCCAGTAAATCTCAGTGAAGATAAGGAAAATGTTGATGGTATAGGGTACCATAATTAAAAAGTTTGGAAAAATAAATCTTAGCTAAGTGCTAAGAATTAATTATTTTGTGTAAAGAACCATTTGCCATTTCACAGCTGTTTTCTGGGGAGAAGAGGCTCCTCGTAGGAGTAGAGTTGGAATGAGGCTGTAGTTGCTCTCTGGAAACCTTCTGCCAAGCATAGCTGGATCCTTGTTTAGGGAAGTTATGTGGGGACCCTGCTGCAGCGTTGAATTAAGCTCTTTGTTACCACCTTGTGGATTTATGCAGGAATTGCCTGCTGCTAGGCTTCTCTCTGTTTGAAAAAGTAATGGCATTACTTTGCAAAATTCTCTTGACTCATTCATTCATACAGCAAAGGAATCTCTTTTTTAAGATCTTTGAGTGACATATTAGTGAGCACTTAACAACACTGCTTTATTTTCAGTTCAAATGTAACCAGCAAGTTACCGGATTTTTTTTTTTTTAATAGAATTTTTATTAACCCCTTGCCCATCTCTTTTCAATGCATTATTGGAAGTACAGCATTTTTACTTTTTATTGAAAAAATCCAAATTACTCATTTAATGGGGGAATTACACATTGCATTAACATCTTCATATTTGTGTCTTTAAGTGTAATTCTTAGCCTTTATTGGACTTTTTTTAATAGGAACTGATGAGTGTTTTGTGCTGACAATGCTGAATTGATTGGCATGACAGATACCACTGCACCAGCCAGAACTTTGCAGGTCCTATGAACCACAGCTTTCTTTACAAGTAGAACTAGATCCACACAAGAAGATCACCACAGAAAGTCCATCATTTATAGTTAAAGATGCTATGGATAAATATCTACATGTTCACATAACTAAAGATTGTATTCTAACATGTTAATTACCAGGACTAACTGTGTTACAAAAGCTAACTTTTGCCTTAATGCTGGCTTTGATGTGTTAAGTTTTACTTCTGGAAACAAAATGTCTTGACTGAATATAAAGAAAAAAGATCCATCCAAGACATTGGCTCCTTCACAGAGGAATTTGATCTACAGGGCTTTTGTTTGAGAAAGCCCTAAGGAACCAAGGGCATTATAGAGAATGCTGGGAAACCTGCACCATCAGGGGAGCTACTAAATCAAGCTTAAATTGTAGAGTTATAAGAAAACTAAGCTATCTTCTGATCCTTTCCTTCTCAGACTGTGATAAGGCACTCTTCCAAAACACCATCCAGCTCCGGGAAAAGTGGTTAGACATTAAGGAAGCTTTAATAAGGGAGAAGAAAGTTGCTGCTAAACTCAGAAAGGAATATGATGTCTTAGTCAAAAAGGTATTGTAGTGTTTTGTTCTCAGCAAGCATCAGCTGGCTCCAGCACAAAGAAAATGTGCTATTGATTTTGGCTAAAGCATAAAAACACAGTCCGCACCTTTTAAGAGGCCTCTGTTTGGGGAGATATCTCCATGCTAGCACACAGGCAGGAGGCAGCTCACTATGGGTCGCCTGTCCTCCTGAAGAAGGCAAATCAAGTTGGTCTGACCTTGGCTGCTAGGGGACCTAAGTTTTAGATTCCTCACCTAACAGAAGCCAGACTCTGTGATTCAGGTGGCACACCTGGTGTAGCCTGGCTCCCCCTGTGTACAAGTGATGGGGATGGAGAATATAAAGGGTCATCCTAACTCAAATGCTTGCTAGAATAAATGCATAAAAATGCTCCATTTCTATCTGTTTCTTTTGCTTTTGGTTATTTTCTTCTGCTCTTTGTCATAGTAATTATTGAATAAACTCACTTGGTGTGAGTTTTCCTTTCAGCTTTTACGAGGTCCTGCATTCGTCAAGACATTTGATTTATATTAAATCAAAAATATCTTAATTTAAAGGGCTTTCTGGGATAGAGAAAGAGTTCTGCCAAAATGCCATTATGCAAGGCTTGCTTTTATTGTGTCTCAAAAATGTCCCACCAAATAAGCTTAACTTACAACGCTTTTTTGTTTTGCTTTTAAAGGCTTTCCTACGTGCCAGCTGCCACATATTCACCCTGGGGTCTGACATTTGATTCTGAATTGTTTCTCATGCAGAATCACATTTCCAGGCATGAAACAATAAAAAATATCTTGCAGACACTGTTGATCTAGAAGCTTTTTGTATGCGCATTAAACAAAGCAGCTGTCTCTTAATACATAAGAAGTAGCTTCACAAGTAAGAAGATACTTATGAATGTACCTGTGTAAAGTATTCATCATAGAATTCTGTTTGAATACATAGATGAGCCTCATGAAACTCATCTGTCATAATCTGTACCAAAAAAAAGAACATTTTTTTCCATGCTTCTTTTCCTTCAGGTCAAGGACTCTAACATAGAACCCTGTTGTCTGCATATTTGAATAATATAGGATTTTTGTCTGTCCACGATTTATCTTTCTGCAGGCAAAATCAATAGAATCCAGTCTGAAAACAGCAGAGAAGGAACTTGACATCTTTCAGTGGGAAAAGCAGCAGAAGCTGAATGACTTATATGTAGTTGTGCCTTTGAAACTCCATCAGGTAATTCACGATTTTGTGTGTTTATCAGTTTTACCTTTGGCAGGTGCAAATGGCCTATGTATATCTAAACAGTGGTGTCACTGGCTTTTGAGGCCTTTGATTTCCTGATCCACCATTGTCTCCTTGGAATGACAATGCCATTAATTGAACTTCATGTTTCCTCTGGGTTTGTTTTTGCTCATGTAAGGACAGGTAGAGTCAGTACACTGATGAAATGTGTGTTGCCTTCAAGTGCTTTACAGGTTTGGAATGGAATATTCCTTCAGGTCTATGCCTACTAATAATCTCTTGAGAAAAACAAAAACAACAACAAAAATAACAACCAACACAATAGAAACAAGCAAACAAAGAAACAGCTATTGAAAGTAATGGGAGTTTTGCCCAATTCAAAAATGCTGGATTGCATACAACGCATTCATCTATGCAGCTGTTATCCCAGGGATGATAAACAGAAAATGAAGGGGAAAACTCCAGACAATGCTGTAATTTCCTCTGGGTTGAATCTTGTCCTCAGAGAGATAGGCCTCTGCCTGCAGTGGCTTGTACGCTTCTGAGGCAAGCTCAGCATCTCTGTCTTTGTTTTATCTACCTCATTAAAATGTTCCTAAGAAAGACAGAAGACTCTCAACAGGAGTCCCGCACTCCATTTTTGTTCTCAATGTTACAGAAGAGTAATCAGCTTCATACATAGGGATCCCTCATAGCTCTAATCTTTGAGCTCTGCTGTGTGGCAGTGATTTCCTGGCCCCAAACATGAGAGTTGTGCCCATGCTATTTCTTCATTCATTAGTTTATAAACTCTCACACATTTTTTATCCAGAACTGTCAACAGCACCCTAAACAAGTCAAGTCAGCCTTGCTTGTGGCTGTTTCTGGCAGGTGGAGTACTTCTTTAATGGGGAGATACCCAGGGACTTCTCCCAGGCTCTGGTATTTACCAACCAGTCCCTAGAGGGTCTGCAGAAGAGAATTGCGGACTTACATCACGAAAAGATAATGCAGAGAAAGATCTATAAGAAGGCCCAGAAGCAACATAAGCAGCTTCTCCGGGACAAAAAGGAGATGGAGATAACTATTCAACGTGAGTAACAGACTTCATACTGCACAGGTTTCTTGTTTCTCACTGGCTGTGACTAAGTCAGCAGATCTGTCTTTATGCTCACCCAAATGTCACAACTGGTTACCGCAGAAAAAGTGTATCAAGTGGACTGTTTGGGTGAAATACTGGTAGTTCTCCAGCACTGTACAATCACTAGGCTGTGATATGCCAGTTTTAAAAGCATTTTCTTCCCCGTGTACCATAAGAGGAATTTAAAAACCTCTCTATTAAAACATTTACATTCCCAAGAACCAGACCCAGATACGTCGAGGTGTCGGCAACATCTGAACCTCCTCTGCCAGCCCGCTGAGGCTTTGGTGTGGGGATGGTCGCTGGCATTGGCTGAATGTGGCTTAGTGATAGCTTAGGTGTGGTCACAGGCAAGAACAAATGGCAGTATTTGGTTGTGAGCTCTATTGAATTCATGTGAATTGTTTATTATGGATCGTATATGACAAAGCTCAGGCAAAAAGTTGGGGGTACGGAACAAATTCTTATTAACCCATGAAAAGCAGTTCTGCCACTTGTGCCTTGCCTCTCCCTTTAGATCTGGAAGAGAAATGCAGTCAGCTGATGATGCTGAAGTTTGGCCGTGTGGTTGATTTTGAAGCAGTTCAAGCACGCTCTGTTAACATACGCCTGGAAGAGCTGAAATTGCAAATAATAGAGAAAGAATATGAGCACTCCCAGGAAATTAACGAGTGTACGGTAAGGTGCAAGAATGGGAGGAGGGTGTGTGTGTGTTCTATTAAGTCTTCATTTGCCTGGGGCTGAATAGCTACACTAAAGTTTTGTCAACATATTCATTATTGTTTGATTTTTTTTCACCTGTCACCAACAGGTGTCACCAAAATGTCTGACTTCATGACTTCCCATCATGACTCCTACCTTTGCACTGCTGCTGCTTCACATCCTATTTTCTTATGCAGGCAGTTGATGGCGTCTTTATTTTTAAACTGGCCTCCAGTGCATTTTTCTGTTTCAGTCCCTATGAGAGGTTCTCCCAGAGTGCTATCCTGCAGGTTTCAGCTGGCAGTCAGTATCTACTGCCTGCTTCCATCATATTTGTTGATGAATTATTTGAGTACAGTGCACCCCTGGCTGATGCCTGGTACACTAGACTGTGCAGCATGAAAAGTGTGTGTCTTCCTGGGATACCTAAGGCTCAGCTGCTGTAGTGCAGCCAGGCAACAGTCCCAAGCTGTCCTTACAGAATGCTGTTCTTTTCCGATGCTTTAAAAATATATAGACAAAAAAATTGGAATGCAAGAGTATCCCAGAAGAGCCAGAAAATATCTCTGAGTGAGTATCATGCCTAATTTGAATTTGTTTGACTAATATTTCAGCCCTACCCCTCCTAATAGGTTTTGTGATTTCTACTTCTTCCTGTTAATGTCAGTTGTCAACATGTTTTGGGCTTACTTTTTGCTGTGGGAAATGCTCTGCTCCTTAGAAAAGTTAGTCTGGTATCCTTCAACACAGCATACATCTGGATGTGTTGCAAGGTTTGCATAATGGACTCCAGAAAGTAGGCTTGTTTTGTAAAGAACTGTGCTGCCCACTCCTATGCATGTTTGCACAGCGTGATACCTAATGAAAGGAGAATGTTCAGATCTGCAGTTCTTTGCTCTCCTCGCTGTCTTGTGTTTGTAGCTATGCAAAGAACCCCTGTCTTCCTCCTCGATTTGGGTGTGAGAGCTGCATTTCAAATTGGAAACTCATAGCCTTAGCCTCCTCTGTTTGTCACCTGTGTGGGCTTGTGGCAGGGGTAGGTGCCAGTTTGATACCTTACACACAAATGGATTACTGTGTGCCTAACAGTCTTCCCTTTCCCATACTTTTGCCGACCTGCTTTGCCAAAATGCTTAGTCATTTTCAATACTAAGAAAACAACAAAAAGAAAAAAGAGATAAAAAAAAGCCACCAACAACAAAACAGCTTGCATGAAAGGCATCACAGGATCACTTGTATGCAGGATCAGTTTGTTGTTTCCGTCCCTTCTGTGATGCATATTCAGCCTAGCCCTCGGTCCCCATTTCATCCTTCTTATCCTCACTCCTCCTAGTTGAACTTTTTATTTCTTTCTAGAAAAGAATCTCAGACTTAGAACAGAAGCTAATGATGCTGACAAAAGAAAACACCATAAAGGTGAGGCAGCTGAACCAGTTCTGCCTTGAAAAGCAGCAACTTGAAACTAAGCTGGATTCACTGAAGGATGATCTGGTAAATTTCTAAGCTACTGTACTACATGCAGGTTTGGGACTGTTTGCAAGCTGAAAGCAGTTCATCCAGCCCTCACCATCTCCCTGGTCAAAAATCCTGCTGTGCAGTCAGCCATTCAGGCTGATGTTGCCTAGTGGCAAAGGCAGAATGGCTGCTCCAAGTCTTCTCCAGAGAGGAAAATGGATGAACTGATCCTGAAGTAGGCCACGCTGTAACTTCTCTGTTAATTTCTTAGCTGCTTTCTAATACTGAAGTAAAGTCATCTTATTTCTAATTAGAAAATGTTTTGCAGAAAGTCAAAATTATTCCTTTGGTACATGGAAACAGACAAATGAGTTGTTTTCTTTCTCTTTATTAGGGAATAAGGCAGCCATTGGTAACAGACTGTGCCAAAGATAAAGGCCTATTACTCTGTCTTCCAAGTAG